CGAGAAATGGGGAAAAAGCGGATAAGATCAAAAGTACGTGGATATTCAGATTAAGCGATTGGTATGAAGGTTATCCAAGTTTTTAGCTCTTCTATTTGAGTGGTCTTGTATTGTGGATAACAAGATCAATGCTTGATCTCAATCTTAATCTGCAGATTAATTCTATCTTTATTCGATATCCCGCATTGTTATCGATTAAGCATTAATCCTCAAATTAAAAGTGCCCACAGAGGATCTCAAGCGATCGTGATTATGAGTAGTAAAAACAAAAGTATTCAGTTGTGATCCATCTTATAAAAAAAAATCAAAAAAATTTAAATATTTAAAACTTGATCACGTATTAACATCAACTGAAAGAAAAAATCTACATTTAACAAGATTATTTTTAACTTTCGTTGCATAAGACATCCTTTTACTAGATAAAAATACAAAAATAGACTGATCAAATTTAACTTTGCAAAACTAAAGGCGAATAAAGAAAAAGTATTTTTTTATCATAGAAAATTGTTCACAAGAGCCCCGTTTATATATATTTAATAAGAAAACCCTTGATAAATTATCCCTGTTGCGCCCCTGAAAGTAACAAAATGTTTCTTCAGTTTTTAACCAAATTCCCCGTAATTCAATCCAACCTGACTCAACACATCACATACCTAGTGACAGAGACAAATAGAGGACACACTATTCACTGTATATTGTATATTGTATACTGTGCTCCAGTAATGAACAGCTAACATAGCAGAGACTGTAGGAGCAGCTCCGGTAACGAACAGCTAAATTAGTAAGAGACTTCAGGAGCAACTCCTGTAATGAACAGTTAACATAGCAGAGACTCTAGAAGCAGCGCCAGTAATAAAGGAGCTAAAGTAGCGGAGACTCTGGAAGCAGCTAGAGTAGCAGCTAAGATTGCAGTGTAAGAGATAATGAACTGGAGTAGCTAAACGAGATATCGAGTTGAGGAAGCTGCCTAGATACTGAACTGGAGCAGCTAAACAAGATATTGAGTTGGAGAAGCTGTACTTTAACTCTGTGCACTGTACATCAACTTTGTACACTGTATCATTTGTTTTGTAAACTGTAAATTTACTCTGTATTCTTCACACCTATTATGTAAGTTGTAAAATTCAAACTTACTCTGTAGAATGTACACTTACTCTGTAGACTGTAAACTTACTCTGTGGACTGTAAACTTACTCTGTAGACTGTAAACTTACTCTGTATACTGAACACTTACTCTGTAGACTGTAAACTTACTCTGTAGACTGAACACTTATTCTGTAAAATGCAAACTTACTCTGTAGAATGTACACTTACTCTGTAGATTGAACACTTACTCTGTAGACTGAACACTTACTCTGTAGACTGTAAACTTACTCTGTAGACTGTAAACTTACTCTGTAGACTGTACACTTATTCTTTACACTGTACACTTACTCTGTACATCAGTGTCGACTGTACACTTACTTTGAACTAAGATGGCATAGAATAAATACCTTGCTCTGAATACTGTACACTTATCCTGTACGCTGTTTACTTGCTCTGTACACTATGCATTGATCATTCACGTACACTGTGCACTTACTCTGTACACTACAAACTTGCTCTTTACACTATAAACTTACTCTTCACATTGTATTTTAGCTCTATGCACTGTACACTGATCCTTTACTCACACTGTGCACTTACTCTATACACTGTACACTTACTCTGTACACTGTAAACTTACTCTGTACACAGTATTTTTGCTCTGTACACTGTACACTGAGGATTAACGTACACTGTACACTTACTCTGTACACTGTTCACTTACTCTGTACACTGTACACTTACTCTGTACAATTTACACTTACTTTGTACACTGTACACTTACACTGTGCACTGTACACTTTCTTTGTTCACTGTACACTGTACACTGTACACTTACTCTGTACACTGTGCACTTACTCAGTTCATTGTATTTTTGCTCTGTACTCTGTACACTTACTCTTTACACTGTACACTTACACTGTAAACTGTGTGCACTTCTGTATACTGCACTTCCGTACATTGTGCCCGCAAACTCTGCATTTAACACTTACTTTCAACTCGCTCTAAAAGAACATTGAAAACTGTAAAGAAATGATTTCGTATATTTGAACAGATCCGAGGCAAATCAAAACATGCAACCATTCAATGGTAAATCCAACTCTGATATTAGAATGACAAATTTCCGAATTACTGCCTGAATGCCTGGAAACCTGGAACCATATTTAGATTTTCTAAAGTCTTGTTTCAAAATGTCAATGGAAATTAAAGTTCTGAGTTTTAGACACCTGAAACTTTTTTTCCTAAAATAATATGGGGGGCTGACAATCAAGTCCCAGGAAATAAGATCAAAAGAGTAAAAGTCCTGAAGAAAATATGTCCGAAGAAAAAAAGAAGAAAAAAAATTAAAGTCTTGTGAAAATGAGGTCAAGTCTAATAAGTTTTCATGAAAACGAACTTTCTTATACACCTGCATAATGAATATATCCAAGGTTGTTATAAATATCAATTTCTTTTTTTTGCATGGTTGTGAACATCCACACATTCGGGGATGTTTTTGTATAAAATCATACTGGAAGCAGAAGAAAGGCTCAGAAAATTAAGTCTCAAAATGGTAGAACTTCACTTCCAAAGACGTCTCATTTCAGGACTTTTTTAGTGTAAAAATTTAGGAATTTATTTCCGAAAACGTTTTTAGAGATCTTTTTTGGCGGTAACCCCTGTAGAAGTGTCTGGAATGTAAGAAGCAAGGTATGTCAAGCATCTTGTCAATCTAGGAAATCAGAATTGTTTAAATAAACAACACATACTAACAACCCCACACAATGCACACGGGAATCTTGATGAAAATCTGAACAAAATTTCATCTAATTAGTTTAAATATATTTTGTAGCGTGTCGGTCAGAGTGGAGGAATAGGCAGCTATATCAGGCCGGGTAGTTTAGACCTGACCATGCAGATTCAAATAGCTTCCCCCCTCTCTCCTCTCATATTGTAAAAAAATCTAGATTCGTTTATTCTAAAATGTTTTAAAGAATATCTTGGTGTTTTTTGTTGTGTACGTTTCAACTTGTCTTTAAACAGGGAAAAGGAAAAGGGTCCGTCCTAGAGAACGATTTTTGAACCCCCACCTCCCCCTCTATCAATTTTGTATACATTTACTTTTTATTATTGAGGGTTAGGTTAGGTTAAGACAATTTCTGGGCCGAGCGCTGCGGCTAGGACAGGCTAGGGGGCCGCGCGCTGCGGCTAGAACAGGCATAGGGGGGAGTAGAAAGGGAGAGAGGGAAAATGGAGGGAAAATTAATCTATAAGGGAGGGGAATGATTGGACCGAGAGGAGGTAGTTATAGTTGGGGGNTAGGGAGGGAGAAAGAACGGGAATTAAAAGGGAGGAATGCAGGAATAGCCAAGAGAAAGGAAAAAAGAAACAGATGGGCGGGGGAAAACATGGCATTAAATAAATCTAAAATTCCTTTCAAGAATTATGTCCTCCTTTTCCATTAAAATTTTCCAGCAATTATTCTAATTTAGGCGTGGATTTTATATATGCAACGCAGGGTTACTAGGATACTACATAGATAGATACAAAGATAATTATTCCGAATATATACAAGGATACTAGAATATAGGATACTATATGATACTAGATAGATACAAAGATAATTACTCCGAATATATACAAGGATATTAGGATATAGGATACTATATGATATACATAGATAGATACAAAGATAATTACTCCGAATATATACAAGGATATTAGGATATAGGATACTATATGATACTACATAGATAGATACAAAGATAATTACTCCGAATATATACAAGGATATTAGGATATAGGATACTATATGATACTGCATAGATAGATACAAAGATAATTATTCCGAATATATACAAGGATACTATGATAATATTATACTATATGATACTACATAGATAGATACAAAGATAATTACTCCGAATATATACAAGGATATTAGGATATAGGATACTATATGATACTACAAAGATAGATACAAAGATAATTACTCCGAATATATACAAGGATACTAGAATATAGGATACTATATGATACTGCATAGATAGATACAAAGATAATTACTCCGAATATATACAAGGATATTAGGAAAATATTATACTATGTGATACTACATAGATAGATACAAAGATAATTACTCCGAATATATACAAGGATATTAGGATAATATTATGCTATATGATACTACATAGATAGATACAAAGATAATTACTCCGAATATATTCAAGGATACTAGGATACTAAATGATAATGCATAGATATAAAGATAAAACAATAATTACTTCTAAGATATACAAGAATACTAGGATACTAGATAGATAGATATATACAAGGATACGATATAGGATACGACATAGATAAATAGACACAAAAATTAATTACTCCTAATATATACAAGGATATTGGGATACTAGATAGATATATAGATACAAAGATAATTACTTTGAATTCTGGCATATTTCCACCCTGTAGTCTAGAATATTATAATATTTCCACCCTAGGCTAGAATATTACAATATTTCCACCCTGTAGTCTCGAATATTATATTATTTCCACCCTGTAGCCTAGAATATTATAATATTCCCACCCTGTAGTCTAGAATATTATATTATTTCCACCCTGTAGTCTAGAATATTATAATATTTCCACCCTGTAGATATTATAATATTTCCACCCTGCAGTCTAAAATATTACAATATTTTCACCCTGTAGTCTAGAATATTATATTATTTCCACCCTGTAGTCTAGAATATTATAATATTTTCACCCTGTAGTCTAGAATATTATAATATTTTCACCCTGTATTCTAGAATATTATAATATTTCCACCCTTTAGTCTAAAATATTATAATATTCCACCCTGTAGTCTAGAATAGGGCAAAAATATTCATTCTCAAGGATAGTTCCCGGTAGATAGATAGATAGATAGTATAAGAGGGAGCCACAACTTGACCTGACCGGCTAGGGTAGCTGGGTTAGCCAGGTATTGTTCAAGAATTCCTCAGTTCAGACGGGACATCCCGACAAACTCATTCAAGTAAGCAGATTAGTAACTTGTCTCTTTATGTTGTTATAATTTTTATTATGAACGACGTCTTAGCCTTTTTGACTTGACTGAAAATAAAGATAACTATCTGACGTAGTTTTTTATTTTCGAAACATAATAATCTTTATTGAAAATAAAATACAGAGATAAGTTGACGTTTTCTACCTACTCATTCAACTGTATTTTCTATCCTGAAATCCTAAACAATTCTTTTAATATAACCTTTAATCTCTTTAATCTTATATCTTTAATCCTTTTATTCTTTTATCCTATCCTCTCATCCTATCCTCTCCTTCAATACTTCTATCCTATCCTCTCATCCTATCCTCTCCTTCAATACTTCTATCCTATCCTCTCATCCATTCCTCTCCTTCAATACTTCTATCCTATCCTCTCATCCTATAATCTCATCCTATCCTCTCATCCTATCCTCTCCTTCAATACTTCTATCCTATCCTCTCATCCTATAATCTCATCCTATCCTCTCATTCTCTCATATCCTTGTATTTATCCTCTCATTATATTTACTTATCCTATCATAGTTTATGATCTTATCCTCTATATCTATCCTTATATCCTCTATATCTATCCTTATATTCCTTATATCTATTCTCATATACTCTATATCTATCCACACATCCTCTATATCTATCCTTATATCTTCTATATCTATCCTTATATCCTCTATATCTATTCACATATCCTCTATATCTATTCTCATATACTCTATATCTATCCTTATATCCTCTATATCTATCCATATATCCTCTATATCTATCCTTATATCCTCTATATCTATCAACATATACTCTATATCTATTCTCATATACTATATATCTATCCTTATATCCTCTATATATATCCATATATCCTCTGTATTTATCCTGATATCCCTTATATCTATTCTCATATACTCTATATCTATCCTTATATCCTCTATATATATCCATATATCCTCTATATATATCCATATATCCTCTATATCTATCCTTATATCCTCTATATCTATCCATATATCCTCTATATCTATCCTTATATTCTCTATATCTTTCCACATATCCTCTATATCTATTCTCATATACTCTATATCTATCCTTATATCCTCTATATCTATCCATATATCCTCTATATCTATCCTTATATCCTCTATATCTATTCTCATATCCTCTTTATCTATTATCATATTTTCTATCTCTATTCTTTTATTCTCTATATCTATCCTTGTATCCTCAACATCTATCATCATATCCTCTATATTTATCTTCATATCTTCTATATCTATCCACATATCCTCTATACTTATCCCTATATCCTCTAGATATCCTCATATCCCATGTATATATCATTATATCCTTTTATCTGTCTTCATATCCTCTATATATATCCTTTTATCCTCTATATATATCCTGTTTATATCCTCATATCCTCTATATCTATCCTGATATCCTATGTCTATTCTTTTATACTCTATATCTATATCCTCTATATATCCTCATATTCTCTATACTTATCCTCATATCCTCTATGGCCATCCTTTTAACCCCTATATCTATCATTTTAACCTCTGTATCTATCCCCATATTCTCATCTGTCCTCATGTCCTTTATTTCTATTCTTATATCCTCTATATCTATCCTATTATCGTATATTTTACAAACTGTGTATATATAGTAATATCTTGGTGACTCATTACTTTCCCGCAATTCTGTACTTTACGCGAATTTTGGGAGGATTATATTAAAGATTAAAAAAATATTAAATCTTTTTTTGATTTGCCCATTCATTTTTCTAGATTTTTGATATGATTGCAATATCACTTGCACTGTCGATTATTTCTAAGAATTTCAGATTAGTTTCCTGTACCCAATTGCAAAATTAATGCAAGCAAAATTTTGAAAAAATAATGTTCCCGGCAATTTTTAAGAACTTTAAAAGGTAAAAATAAGAAATTGTCTAAATATGTCTTATGATTTCAGCTGCCATCCGACCCAAGCAGTAACACACAAACAACATGGATGCCATCAGGAAGAAGATGAAGTCCTTGAAGGACGAGACTGATCAGCTCTACGCCGTCATTCAGAGGTTTGAAGATAACACCAAAGAGTCCAACAGAGTAGCCGATCAAGCTGATGTTGATATCAGAGACTACGGAAAAAAGGTTCACGGCTTTGAGATTGAGTTTGATGAAACAAATGACAAACTTAACAAGGCCCTTGAGTCATTGGAGGAGAAAGAGAAACACCTGAAGGAGGTTGAAGCTGATATTGCTGCCCTGTCCCGTAGGATCATGTTGATGGAGGAGGAGGCTAAGAAATCAGAACAAACACTCGCAAATACAGTCACAAAGCTAGCCGTTACCTCCAAGGAAGCTGATGATGTTCTCAAGAAGGTCAAGGTTGTAGAGTCTAAATGCATGAACAATGAAGTTACCCTCGAAGAATTGGATAACAATCTAAGACAAACCACCAAGATGGCATCAGACAACGAACAGAAGCTTGATGAGCTCAGCAGAAAGCTTGGAGTCCAAGAAGAGGAGCTTAAGCGTGCTATTGAGCGCGCAGAACTGGCTGAGAACAAGCTCAAGGGAATCGAGGAGGAGCTACAAGCTGTTGGTAAAATAAACTATTTATCATTTCAAAACCCTAGATTTTAAACCAGGTTCACAATTGACATTGTTTAGGTGAGAACATGAAGCAACTTGAACTGTCTGCTGAGAAGGCCGTGGAGAGAGAAGAAAAGCTCAAGGACAAAATCCTTAATATTCAGCACAAATACAAAGCAGCTGAGGGCAGGTCATCATATAGTAAATCTTAATATTTGACATTTTTTTCTGAAATAACTGATTTTTCCTAGCTAACTGCAGTAAACATTTAAAGGAGAAAGCTAAAATCTAAATTATTGAATCTTTTGCCGCAAATTACGGAGATTTTCATTGGTATTAGAAATAGCCCACACCATCATATTTTCCATAAAGCCCAGTCTTAAATAATCACATATAGGTGGATTTATTTAAGGGCGTACACAGAAATTCGCCCATAGAGGGCGTACATTCTTTTTTCTTTTTAGGGCCGGGAACCCGGGGCTCAGCAACAGTTGCAGCCTGAAACCCACCTGGACACCATATATTTTACTAATTTAAGGGGGGGCACTGAGTCATACAGACCCCCTGATTTCACCTCTTTATCTCTTGCAAATTCAAATGCAAGACTATTTTTGTTGTTATAACTGACTTCTTCTGTCTAGGTATGAGTATGGAGAGATGAATATCACTAAGCTGAACCAGAGAATTGATGATATTGAGGATGAGATCTACAGAGAGAAACTCAAGATTAAGAAGGTTGCGGACGAACTGGGAGAGACTTTCGATGACATGCTTGCTCACTATTAAAAAGGTACAGTGAGAACCATTAAACTGTGGAATAGGAAGACGACATTGTAGACAAAAATAAGTGTATCTGATGGTGTTATAAAGCAAATAGCTTACGAAATCACATATTGCTGTGTCTCCATTTCATTTGACTATAGGTTTCGTCTGAAGTCCTTTTCCTTTTCCAGAGTTTTCTGATTCTCACTGCAGGTGTAAAATCAATCAAATAATGGGGTCTGAGAATTGACTTTTGAGGATTATGATGCATGGCGTTTTGTGAAATGATGAAGATACATCAAGTATTTTAGAAAACCTTTTGCTTCCTCAAATGATTTGTTTGCAAATTTATGCTTGGCTTCTTGAAATAAATCAAAGCAAAAATTTATTATTTCTTTTGTAACAATCATTAGTTCTTATTCATGTGCTTAAATTTATTTGGTTGCACTACAAATACCTAACGTCACATTGAATAAATTAAACTTTAAATATTAAAGGCAGTGTCTGACTAGACATGGTAGTTGAGCTGAGAGTGCAGTATTATAGAGAAATTTTACAAAAGTCGTTTGAGACATTTGTGCGTTGTCTTAAAAAATTTACTACAATACTGCACTTTCAGCTCAACCACCACACGAGCCAGACACTCCCTTTAATCTTATCAATTTTGCAGATAACATACAAATTCAATTATATGGATGACCATCAGCGAATTAGACATTCAACATTTGAGGTAATAATTAATTTAAAATTATTTTTTTGAGGGGAAGGGGGAGTCCGGGGAGGGGGCGTATAAAATAGTGTTTAATTTGTTTTAACTTCTTTGCCCAAATTATTTTTGCAGAAAAAAAATTAATATTTTTATTTGCAACAACATATTTCTTTTCTGAAACAGTTTGTTTTCTAAATTTGACAAGATCTAATCCATAACATATTTTACAATCAGAGTACTAACTTTTAAATTGTTCCACAGATACTTTTTTTTTAAATTGACAATGATTTATTGATACCTTACACACTGTAAAATATTTTAAAGACAGGGTTAAAGAAAAACTATTTGAAAGCAGATTCAACAAACAAAAACAAATAAAAAGCTTGAGTTCAAATAGAATAACAGTTAAGTGCCGAGATGCACTTTTTACCTAATATTGTATATTTACTTTTAGATTGTCAGCTGACCCAGAAACGAATCCAAAATAATAGTTTTCTTTTCAATTTGGAAATAAATAAAATACATTGAATATATTTTCATTTGTGTATTTATTATTGACTGAAAGGGTTTATATGACACGATTTACAACCTGATAATCTTAAAACTTTTGACTAATCATGAATGACAGACTTTTCCTTCTTTATCTTCGAATGCCTTAATTTTGTAAGCTATTTTATATGTAAGCAATTTAAATATTCAATTTTTAGTAAAAGCTTTTATATTAGATTTTTTAAAACCTTGTTGGACAATGAATATTTAGGTTTCTTTACAAGAATACATGTAATGTCATCAGCATTAAGTTCACACAGTACGCTAGCGTACACTTTAATTTTACGACTTTTTACAAAACATTTAAGAGATATATATACTGAGTTCTCTGTCCTCGATTATTTAGGTTTAATGGGAATCGTTCTGAATTTCCCTGTTTAAATGGAAGGTCAAATGAAATTCCGCTTACAGTCCTTTTAATGGCTTTAATCAAAGGAGAAAATCATCAGGAATTGTAAATTTGATTAGTGTAACATACATACACAAATATTAATCATCCTTAACAAACATATCTATGTATTTTTCTTTTTTCCATTAATAAAATCAATTTTGGCTGTTTTTTTCTTAAACTCATACATCGAACTTAACCCTATAAAGGCTGAGTGGGGGGCGTCCCCCCCCCTAAAAAAGGCCTGAGAGAATATGTATAAGGTTGAAATGAATGTTCATAACCCAATTTTTCAATTAGATCGATAACTTTTGTAGTTTGAGTGCAAGGGAGGGTTGAAAAAATGTTAAAAAAAGGTCAAAAATGTAAAATATATTTTTTTGTTAAAAAAATATCAAAATGTGACACATGTTTCTACATTCATTTTTCAAGGGCTTTTTAAAAGTATACCTTTTAGATCTCTAGCTTTAGTCATAAAAAAGTTATGGGCTATATCAGATTTGTTTTGCACAGAGACGGTACTTTATACCGGCCTCTACCCTACCCTATGCATAAAAAAATTACAAAAATTCCTTTAAATTCCTATTTTTGCAGGCCTAACTATCCACCATTTAACCCATCTCTATTAATTTTTTTTCTCTTGTTGTAATTCTATGGAAAGCAGATTGAACAAGTTTGGAAAAAATGTTTCACATTCTTTGCATACATTTGCTACAATATCAGAGAAACCTGACAAAATATAACCTAATACCAGGATATTTCAGAACTCGGTAGAACCACGGAAATAGTTTTTAGAATTCCGAGCTTGACATTTATAGGGAAAACTCCGGACACAGCTGGGTTTCCAATCTAGTTTTTCAGTATAACGATATATCTATGCCCAATCATAACTCAAAAACCCCTTGACCGATTTGCCTCAAATTTGATTGGGAAACTCTGTAGAACCACGGGAATTTTATTAGCTTAGTTTAAAAGTTCCAAATTTTACATCAAAAATTTCATTTCCAAGAAAAACTGGGTTTCCATGCTAGTTTTTTATAAAATTTATGCAAAGAAATCTCTTTACACAATTATGAGCATAAATTTTAAAATCTATACTCTTATAAAAGGAGAAAGTTATAAAGAAAAAAAATCGCAAAACATTATTTTTCATGATTTTATTTTCAAATATTACAATTTTTTATAAATGGGTTGATGTAATCTAATATTCACATTAAAATGTACAAACGAATAATGTTAAAGTTGTTCAATTTTTTTATCAATAGTTTGATAATATATATTCGTGAAAAATATTTCTGTCCCTTTTTGAGTAAACTGTTGTTTTAAAAACTACATTCTATATTTGATAAATAAATCCATAATTTATTTACGATTTACATAAACACAACTAAAAACATGTTAACGCAATAAACAAACAATCGAACTAATATGCTGTTGATGTTTACAACTATGCCTAAATTATCTGTTGAAGAAAAAATAAAAGCACAAACAAGAACCAGGCATAAAACCATAAAAACATAAATGATTGAGCCAGCTCTTTTGTATAACATAGTAAACACATTGCAAAACTGATCATATTCTTTGGCTAAAAAGTTCCGAACTTCCATTTTCTTTTCTAGATTCTTGTAAACACTTGACTTGGCCCATGCACCTGGAGGCAGCTGAAGGGATTGGCGTCTACTGGTTGCCTTTGTAGTTCCCTCTGGTTTTATCAAACAAGCTTGAATGACCGAAGGGCAGGAACCATGACCATCTCTTCTTATTGCAAGACCTTCAAATGGGATGACCACAGGTTTTGGAAGTCGCTTAAGCCTAGAGTTTGTTGTCGGGAAGATCTTTTTTAATCTTCGATTTTTAGAAATTTCCTGTACAACGGCCATCACGATCTTGATGATCTCTAGAAGCAACGCAATGCCGATTAGGATTGCAACTGTTGGAAATGTCTTACACAATTCTCTTTCCTGCTGAACATTTTCCATAGATTGTGAACTGTTTGAAGATTTGTTGTTTGATTGGAGAGCTAATTCTTCCAACAGTAGCTTGTAAAGAACTGTGTTAGAACCCTTGAAATCTGTTTTATACATTCCACAGTGTAGAGCTAAGTAGACATGATCAAGTATCAAAATTGTTGTGCAGACTCCACCGGACAGAATCATCCACTTGGATGTGTTCGCATTGTGAAATCTGGCAGGACTGGCGAACAGGAGAAGCCTGGATCCAGACAAGAAGCAGCCAACGATAGTCAGGAGTATTGTTACGTTTCTAAACGGAAACAGGCTAATACAGAGGGTGGGATGGGTTACAAAGAGAGCTGTTAGTTCAGCATTGAACCAACAGGACGGAACACTCAGAAAGTAAGTCCGTAGCAAGGCTAGTAAGCTTGCCAGAAGGTATAGAAGAAATATTCTGTTGGGTAGCGTCTTTTGGCTTTTGTTGAGATCCCTTATAAGAAAACCAGTTGCCGTGAAAGAAGCCAGAAATCCAAGGGTGTTAATGCTAAAAGCATAATAACTTGGCATACTGGGAACGCTGCAAATTACACAGCAGTATAAAGCTAGAGGTATTTTTGCCCATTTCTTGGCAATAATTAATATTTCTGTCAACTCCATTCTTGAAGTTTAAAACTCCTACTGAGGAGGGTTGAAAGTTCAAGGAGTAAATGAAGATTGAGCTAGACCAGATTGTAAAATCAGATATCTCTCGGAGAAGAGAGAAAAGTGCTCTGTCAAATCATAATCCTCTGAACCGTAACCTCCGCATGTAATTTGTCATTATAAATTGGTTGATTTTTTTTTCTCATTTAAATCCCGGCTTTTGTTTTCTAATTATCTTTTTAAGATCGTTTATCTTATGTGCAAATGTGCCAATGCATAATTTTCTATCTTTGTTTTTACCATTTCTAATTAATTCTATTATGTATTGAAACCTTTCGGATGTTAATTTTAAAATTTTTTATATTCAACGTTTCGTTAAAAACATTATTTGATGATAATGTTTACAGAAGATTAAAAAATAGTTGTATAAGAAAATTGCGAAAGTTTTGCTTGTATTTGCGAAAATTTTATTTCGCCTGTAAGTATTTATATTATGCGACCAAAAAAATAACAGCAATAAACATTTAGAAATACAAATAAGAATATACATTCCGTGCAAAAAATTTGAGCAAACTGGAGTCAAATTGCAAAATTTTATTTTGGTTTGTGGGAACCCAAAAATGAAAACTATAACCCTTTATTTGATAAAAATTGTAAATATTATTTTAATGCTTTCTTATGAAGTGTTGAAAATAGCAAAATCAGCAGTTTTGGATTCCATGAATAAACTACTTCAGTATTGCTGTTAGCTTCAGGGAACATGTTTAGACTCTAAAAAGTTATATGATTTTCTCGATTTTGTATGTAAATCGTAAAAGAAAAAAATGCTGTTAGATGGTCTAACAGTTTAATTAAAGAGTGAACTCATTAAACACTGTTTATCATACACAAAATGTTTAAGAAAGTTGGGATGATGTTTAATAAAGTGTATTCTCAGTATTAACTTTGCCTTAAAATAAAAAGATCCTATTTTTGCCTTTGTTTCTTAAATAATAATGCATTATCTTATCTATACAATTTTAATCAGTAAAAAGTATTTACAGTTTGACATATAAACTGTCGTTGGGCCTTTTTTAAGACTTGAGTTTTCTGATTTAAGTTGAATCTTATTTTCTGAAGAGTTGAGTTCTTATTAGATCACTAAAGTTAAGCACATTTTCCGCCGACTATAAAGTGGTTTAAACCTGGTCCTGGTCCTGGTCAGGGTTTAAACCTCGCACCTTATACAACAGATGATGCATCATGCATATTACATATACCATGATGATCTTCAAAAATAACAAAAACCTATGTGAGTTCCCTAAAGGCAAGGTTCCAGAAAGACAACCCCAATAAGGTATGGTCCTGGAAGAGAATCCCTCAAAGGTGGAGGGAACCCCTTTAAGCGTGGTTTTATGAAGGAACCTATAGAGATCATTTATCCCCATGTTCCATCTGATGAAAGTGACAAAAACCTCTGCATTATTAACAACTGCTATAGACACCCTCCCTAGCAGTTAAATAAAAAATTCACATCTATATAGTGTAATCTCATAATGATCATAAATGATCTAAAAGAGGAGTACGACTCCCAAAAAATAATAAAAAAATATAAAATATTCTGATATACTGTATACAAGTGCTAAATTATGTTAAATCATAAAAGCCTAAAATTTTGCTCTTATTCCACAATTTTATGGATCCCACTGTAGGATGTTTTTTTTTAATACAGGATGAAATCTGCAGTTGATAGGCCAAAATTATCTTCCCAACTATTAATCTTGAACATTTTTGAAGAAGAAGAACTGAATATATTTCAGAAAACATGGACTGACTTTACTGAGATATTTAAGAAAATGAGTTTATGTAAGTGAAACAAACTTTAACAATTGTTTACCATGCTGGCTTTTTTAGTATTAGGATCAATACTCTCTTCAATCAATAATCTCTTCCTTTCATAAATCCCTCCGATATACAGTTATCGAATAATCAAATAAAGATTAATTTAATCGGGAGATTAACAAAAGATTGAAATCAAGCATTGATCTCGATATCCAAAAGCCGAGAGTTCACAGTTCAGTTTAATGTTGATCATGCATGTTGAAAGGAGTCTTTGCCACAAACTCAAATTTTTTAATTATCTTTGCAAATTGATTTTCTAAACAATTTATATTTCAAACTTAGATTATTTGATCCAACAGAATTCATAGTTTGAAGTTTCAAGACATTGGGTTGAAGTAGTTGCAGCAGAGTTTGTGGCAAAAGACAATGGAAATGGTTAAATTTACATATTTTTCCATAGAGATTATTATTTTGTTGAAAAATAATTAACCCCCTCCGCCACATTCCCCTGGTAGTTCAGACACAAATAAATGCCTCATTTTTCGTTTTTGCTTCAGATCTGAAAAAATCATAATAAATATTGAATTTGTTTTTTTGCTGGTCTTCTATCCCGGTTTTTGTCTAAAACTTTGATGTTAAAAATCTGTTTAAAAAAACAATAAAAAAATCTGTTTTAGAAAAGAATAAAAAAAATCTATTTGATTAAATTTCAACCGACGCACAAGACAGAAGTGGTTCAATTTATTCTTCGAAATTAAACTACTTCTTGCTTTTCATTAATTTTGGTCTCTGTTTGGAGATGAAAAACTAGTATGTCCAAGGGTCAAACATAAAACCAATTTATCGCTTTTTTGATGATATTGTTCCTAGTCGAAGATTTAGCGATCACATTGCTGTTTGTCCTGATGTCTGTCTGTTTATCTGTTCCTCTCCTTCTCCTTCCTCAATTACAGAATATATTACCAAAACAGGTAAAGGAATTGTAAACGTAATCTGATGTGACCTTCCGTTTGTAGAGTGGCATGTCCGATTAGCAATGGTACCATCTAAACCGTTACCGTTTTCAATATCCCCTACATCCTTGATCTAACAACGGTTTAATGGGTACTGTTGTAAATTGGACATGCGTCCCTTTAAGGAAAACTTTATTATGAATTTCACCCTATCAATTGTATTAATGCGATTTTAACTTTTTGTACAGAAAAAAAGATAAAAAACCAAATCCACTTTTTGAACAATTAAAAGTTGAAATCTTTATACAAAATTTCATTTTGCAGATTCGAAAGATCGAAGAAGATATTCAAAAACCCAGTAAGAAATCAGTTGATATTCAAGACACCAGGAAGAAATCAGTTGATAATCAAGACACCAGAAGGAAATCAGTTGATATTCAAGACACCCGTAGGTAGGGATGGTAACGTTTTCATTTTTTCAGAAAAACGATCGTTTCGTTATGAAAACGACGTCGAAAAATCGAAAACAAAACGATCGTTTTTAAAAACGATCGTTTTTTTAAAAGTTCGTTTTTTAAAAATGGTCGTTTTTAAAACGATCGTTTTTCAAAACGCTCGTTTTTCATAAAATTCGTCGTTTCGTTAACGATCGTTAACGACGACCCTTCGTTAACGAAAAGCAGGAAATCAGTAGATATTCAAGACATCAGTAGGAAATCAGTTTGTATTCAAGACACCATCAGGAAATCAGTTGATATTCAAGACACCAGTAGGAAATCAGTTGATATTAAAGACACCAGTAGGAAATCAATAGATATTCAAGACACCAGCAGGAAATCAGTTGATATTCAAGACACCAGTAGGAAATCAGTTGATATTCAAGACCCAAGCAGGAAATCAGTAGATAATCAAGACCGAAGCAGGAAATCAGTTGATATTCAAGACATCAGTAGGAAATCAGTAGATATTCACGACACCAGCAGGAAATCAGTAGATATTCAAGACTCAAGCAGGAAATCAGTTGATGTTCAGAAAAATATTTCAAAACTAAAATCAGACAAAAAACTAAATCCCACATCTGCAGCTTTCGAAAATTTAAGACCTATACTTTGCAAGAAATCAGAAGAAATAAGAAAAGCTGATGCAGAGACTGACAAAAACCATGAATTTTGGCTGGTGGATAAAGACATAATAAAAAAACAGTTTGGAAACCATTTCCAAAAAAGAGGTATAAATCACCCGGAAATAAATGAAAAAGTTTTCCATTCAAAACAGAAAAGAAGATGTTCCGAACCCAACACCTTGATCAATACAGAGAACAGAAAAGTTATAAAAGTAATAAATTTTGTTGCAATCACACTTGGCGAAGCTGCATCTAAACCCTCAATTACACCTGCTAGATCAGCACAGAATACCTTCAAATCAAAACATATTGATTTTCCACAGAAAAGAGAATACAAGGAGAATAGAATAGACTTTCGGACAGAAGAGAAAATGTTAAAGGTAAGTTCATTAAATGTTTTTTTTTACTTTCTCAATAATTCAAATCAAATCTTAAATTTGTCTGCAGAAATTATTCTAACAATTTATACAAAAAAATAATAAAAGGGTTTTTCAAAAATGTATGAAATGCTGAAGAGATTGAAGTTGCCCGTGGAATTATTTTAAAAATAAAATTTTGTTATACTTTAAATTTTGAAAGAAAAAAATTCGATTTTTTAAAATTGAAAATCAGATATTTTTAGCCAATGTTACTCCCAGGGTACCCATGGGTTCCCTCAATAAATGTTAGCCTATTCGGTCCAGCCGTTTGGCCAGCTAGCTATAGCTGACATTCAAATAATATATATATGAGCGATGAATTACATATATAGGCAATAAGGAAATAGAGGGGGGTTACTTGGTTCCCCTGCCCCCTCCGCCCCCCCCCCTGGTATTTTGGGCAAGGCGACGTGTCCGTAGTAATAGGGTTAAGCTTTTGATTTAATTGACCAACCGAACTACGTCAGATGAGCATTACATATAAAATGGCGTATCCTACATTTTAAAGGGGGGTCGTATGTTTTTATTTCTAAAACTATAAGGGCACTTTATTCTTTATGGTTCATTCATGATCAATTTGATTTATTACGAAAAAAATTCCATCTTAAAAAAAAGTCAAAGAATAATTCTTTGATAATTTATTTTAATACTTTTTTATTGTTTTTCTCCAAAACTGCGCGTTAATCTTTATCAAAAAATACAATTATCAGTATACATAATTGTGTTAAGTGGATCCTTGCCCACGGGTTAAGTGGATCCTGGAAAACAGCAAGATAAGTGAATGCAAACATCTAAACGTACTTTGCTTGTCTGTTTGTCTGGCTGTCCATTTGTGTTCAAAAATCGTCAAAACCGATCGGGCCCAAACTTTTGTTGGATCTCACATAACTCGATTTTTGAAAATTCTAAAAATCCAACAAAAAAATTTTTATAAAATCCGCGAAATTTTTGTTTGTTTATGTTTAACAATGTTTACAAAGAGAAAATGTTCACAATTGAAATAGAAGATGGACGCGAAGCGCTCTAAAAGCCTAGCTTTATTGACTGACTATTTTGTTAATTTGTACATTGTTTTATAAGCAAGAAATGCGCAAGTTACTTTTGCAGAGAAATCACAAATGAAAATGAACAGTCTAAATAAACCAAAACATGCATATCTGATTCAAACTTGAAATTACGGTTACAGTCCCTCTACCATTTGACCAATGGTTTAATATTAAGGTTAATAAGAAAGAAGCTGAGAATTTACCTAAACTTTCTCCACCTCCCCCACCTTTATATGATCCTAAACCAGAAACCCAGGTTCATGGAAAATACAAACTTAGCTTGAGCAGCACTAAACTGAACACATCCCACAAATTGTCAAACCCTTATATTTCCCTCCCCTCCTCCCCCACCTTTATATTATCCTAAACCAGAAACCCAGGTTCATGGAAAATACAAACTTAGCTTGAGCAGCACTAAACTGAACAAATGCCACAAACTGTCAAACCCTTATATTTCCCTCCCTCCTCCCCCACCCCCTATATGATCCTAAACCAGAAACCCAGGTTCATGGAAAATACAAACTTAGCTTGAGCAGCACTAAACTGAACACATGCCACAAACTGTCCAATCCTTATATTTCCCTCCCTCCTCCCCCACCTTTATATGAACCTAAACCAGAAACCCAGGTTCATGGAAAATACAAACTTAGCTTGAGCAGCACTAAACTGAACACATGCCACAAACTGTCAAACCCTTATATTTCCCTCCCTCCTCCCCCACCTTTATATGATCCTAAACCAGAAACCCAGGTTCATGGAAAATACAAACTTAGCTTGAGCAGCACTAAACTGAACACATCCCACAAAAAATTTGGTTTTTGTAAAAAGTAATATAAGTTGGCTTATATTAACTTAGAAAAGAACGAAAAGACGCAAAATGGGCTCAGGAACTTGAAAATTACACGAACCTGGGCAGTGGGCATGATGCATTCTATTCAGCATATTATCAAGACAATTTTATCAAATAAGTTTTTCAGTTATGTATAAAAAGGATTTTTGGGTGCTTTTTCATAGAAAAATACCACATGTTTCATTCTAACAATAAAAGAATAAACAATAAGCAGTACTAAATTTGTTTTCATTCCTCCCAGAAACTGTGCAGTACAATTATCTAATCAAATAAAGGCCAAAAAATAACAAACTAACTTGAAAACCGGAAAACTCTGGAATAGTTAGACGACCTTGAGAATCAAGTTTCAACTTTGAAAAGTTCAATAACCATGAAACACAGAAATTGTGCTGTGTAAACAGAACCGTTTTACAAAAAAAAGTAATTTTATAAGTTTTTGGTAAAACTATTTGCCTAGTAACACCATCAAATACACTTAAGTATTGATATACTGTCGTCTTCATATTCCATTGTTTCCTGGTTTTCACTGTAAAAACAATAGTTTTTGTGTTAGTTAGATAAACATTCTGCAAGTAAACTTTTACAGATCATAATTTTGTCTGTTATACCTTTTATTTTTTGGAACTGTATTTTGTGGTTTATTTTTAAAGTCGAAAAATCTTGAAATTCTCCGAAAAAGAAACCAAGTCATTGCCTATCTTGAAGTATTTTCCATTTATGCCAAGATGTCTCCTTCTATCCAACCAGACATCACAAAAGAAGATCTCAACAATACTTTGGAAGATAAAATAAAAGATATCAGCTGTTCTATAGAAGAAAGTCCTAAATTCTCAAGACAACCAGTTAAACATGATGAACCTGAATCAGTTATCAAACGAAGGTACAGTAAAAGATCGGTTATGCTGTTATACGTTGGTAAGCGATAATATCAATATAATGAAGACGACTTTCGAATTTAATTTTTATTATATCAAGCTTTTAAACAGCATTGATAAACAAAACATGGAAACAAAGAGAAGCTGTCAATTAAAAAACCACTCTTTAATTACTTGTTAACTTATAAATCAAAAAAAACTTGTTAACAATTAAAACTTAAATAAAAAGGCCGTCTTCATTATATTGATATAATCGCCTTCCCACCGTAGAAACAAAACTTAATTTCCAGTCAAAGCTATTTTTTACTTAAGTTATAATTTATTGATGATAACTTTGGTGGTTTTCCGTCTTAGATTGAGTTAGGAATATTTGCACTGCTAGCTAGTTAATTTATTTTGTTAATTTACAATAATCTGGTTTATTTTGTTAATTTACAATAATCTGGTTTATTTTGTTAATTTACAATAATCTGGTTTATTTTGTTAATTTACAATAATCTGGTTTATTTTGTTAATTTACAATAATCTGGTTTATTTTGTTAATTTACAATAATCTGGTTTATTTTGTTAANATATTATCTTAGTCCTTAAATCTGCTATAAATATTATCTTATTACATAAAATTTGTCACAAATAGTATATTAGTCCTTAAATCTGCTATAAATATTATCTTATTACATAAAATCTGTCACAAATAGTATATTAGTCCATAAATCTGCTACAAACATTATCGTATTACATAAAATCCGTCACAAATAGTATATTAGTCCATAAATCTGCTACAAACATTATCGTATTACATAAAATCTGTCACAAATAGTATATTAGTCCATAAATATGTCACAAATATTATTTTGTAAATTTGTAACTCGAAAAAAGCTTGGTTAACAGCTTAACTTAAATAAAAAGTTGTCTTCCTTATATATAATATAATCGTCTGCCACCGATGTAGCTTTAATTACAAAAATCACTTGCAATTTTACTACCTAGTAACCGCAATTTACTACCTAGTAACCGCAATTTTACTACCTAGTAACCGCAATTTACTACCTAGTAACCGCAACTTTACTAACTAGTAACCGCAGTTTACTAACTAGTAACCGCAGTTTACTAACTAGTAACCGCAATTTTACTAACTAGTAACTGCAGTTTACTACCTAGTAACCGCAGTTTACTACCTAGTAACCGCAATTTTACTTACTAGTAACCGCAGTTTTGCTAATTCTTCCATTTCTGTGCATAAAAGATTCTGGAATTAAATCTTTTCATTTTCATACAATTTTTTTTACTGAAAATAAGATTTTTTCAAGACGACATTAATCAGATTTAATTTTTGACTCGCCCTGTATGTTTATAGGAGATGGAGTATGGACGTGGAAGTGAAACCTTTAACTTTTTTTGAACCAAGGAAAATTTAGATAAATTATATTTCACAATTTTTCAGACAAATAAATAAATAATAATACTTAATGTCTTAAACTTATTTTAAAAAAAGGGAAAAATATCTTGATGTATAAGTTAAAAAAAAATTTAAAAATCTTAAAATTTTTTTAAAAATTTAAAAACCAGGAAAAAATATATGTCTCTGGTTTTGGTTCAGGAGGAATTGTATCAAGGATTTGTACTTTACAGCTAACATGTACACTAGACCAGGTACAAGTACAGTACAACGCTGAAAAATGGTTCATATGTAAAGTATTCTAGGCTTTCAGGGCTTTCCTGTAAATAATTTTTCAGGATTTGCTTTTCCAAATTTGATGGTCCATAAACTTTCTCTGGGTTCATGTAAGGTCCCACACAAAATTTGGGCACGATCGGTTCAGCCCTCTTGGCGTTTATCGATTACAAGCAAAGTATAGATATAGTGTGACCTCGTAGATCCACTTTATTTTATGTGCCGGTACATCCTGTATTTTATTTACCGGTACATCTAGTATTTTATGTACCGGTACACTCTGTATTTTATGTACCGGTACACCCTGTATTTTATGTACCGGTAGACCCTGTATTTTATGTACGGGCATTAATACAAATTTTGTGTGGAACCTTACATTTCTTCCAAAAATTGGTCAGTTATGACATTTTAGTCATTTTTCGTTCAGTTATTCTACATTTGACCTTAAGTCATAAAAAATCAGCTTCGTGAACCAGTTCCTTGTTCTCATTCAGGTTTATCTGGACTAAATAGAATTAGTTTTTTTCGTTGAACAAGAGATATCGTAATAATAATAATAATGTTTTCTTCCGGACAAAATATGAAAAGTAATAGAAAGAATCAAACATGATTTTCCTGTACATTTTTGAAGATGAAATAAAGTTATAAAATAATTTATCAAAAAGGTTTTGATGAAAACGGACAAACATTCATGGTTTTGATATTTCTTTTGTTTAGAGTCGTAGATATAAATGAGAGGAAGCTGTGCCGTAGCATTAGAGCCTGCACAGTGAAGACGACCGTGAAAAGAAATTGATTACATGCCTAGAACTCTTATTTAATCACTGCACTGTATTTTTGCATTCTGATGGTATACGTTTAAGATATTTCAAATTCGACAGATTGAGATATAAGAAATAATAGTTTAAGGTATCAAAGGTCTTTGACATCAGGTTGCAATGATATAAATATTGAAAAATTAATGTTTGAGACGAGTAATAAGAAAAGAAGAATCAACACCTGATATTTAATAATCATGATTATTATGATAGTAATGTTGTGCATCTGTGATATACAGTTAAATGAAAATAAACTTTTTAGAAATCAAACATGTAATTTTAAATAGTGTATTTCTAAATTGTTTCAAAATCTTTTTTACTGTTTTTTATTTCTTTTATTTGATAATTGAATTGTTTTTTTTTTGAAGGCATAGAGAGGACGCAAAATGGGGTGTGCGGGAGAGACGGTTTATATCTTTTTACGTAAACATATTCTATTCGTTTTTATTTAAAAACTTTTAGATTTTCTGTTTTTTTCTAATAGATAATAATTAAAAATGCTCTGCACCCACTCTTAACGAAGCTGGGATTAATGGACATAATGAATGAATAGTGAATGTCCACTGTAAGAAAAGGACCTGTCAAACCATAAATGTTTTTGTAATTACAAATTAATTATTTTCTGTTTCGAGATCTCAATAAAAGTGAGTTGAGCATTTCGGAAAAAATGTGGATAAAAATGTTACAATGAGACACTTTTCAAGCTAAAAAACGACGATATCTTCCACATCATTGATAATAAAGATACCGTTGTGAATTGTGCATGCCCCCTCTTTTATGGAGGGTTGACATTACCGGAAAATTATGATTTATGAATGAAGGAATGAAACCAGGTTTTTTCTTGAATTCTCTGTAAGGGTGGAGGGAGGTCTCCTGAGTTGTAAATTGTAATTTGATCCTGTAAAGAAGAGAGAGTTAGGTTAATATACAACCCTGATCTTATACAGCCTTACTTTTCACACCAGTACCTTGTCCCGGCACAGATAATCAACATTTTAACAGATAATCAACATTTTAACAGATAATCAACATTTTAACAGATAATCAACATTTTAATAAATAATCAACATTTTAACAGAGAAATTTGTTATAAATCTTAAATTCATATGTAATCATATTTTTTTGTTTTTATTTGCTGTGAGTTTTTTCGTAATGATGAAAAAGTTAAAATAATATTTTTTTATCCAGTTTCCTGACTAAATACGTGGATAAATTGAAAATATTTAGTTGAACAGAAATTTGCTAAAAATCTTATTTTTTGTTTTTACTTCATGTCTATACAGTTGCTGCAAAATTATATCAATTTTTACCAAAACGTTGTTTCCTTTCATAGTTTTTCCTTTTTTAGTATTTGTTAAAGAAAGTGTTCGTTTATACTCCTGAGTCTAAAACTAAAGAATGCGCGAATTTTAAGTTTGAGGTTTAAAGTTCTGTAAAATAATGAGTAGCTACTTAAATATTTAACTTTCTCAATTTTAAATTTGAATTTCCCGGGAAAATTTTCACCCAATCAGAGAAAAGGATTTATATGGAGAATATTACGTAACCATCGCTAATCAGCTGTTTTAGTTAACTTTTTAATATTTACGTAACCGAAAACAAAAAATATTCCCAGTTACAACCGTCTTTTGGGTTTACGTGCAAACATTAATTAATTTAAAACGTGAAATTTATTAAATCAAGGGTTTTACTTTTAAATATATCGTAATTAGTTGAATGCGCGCCGCTTATCGCTGAATGATGAGTGATTGCGGGATTTCAAGATTTTAACACATGTGTTTAATTTTAACTCGTCGATTTCGGCGAGTTAAATATTTAACCACAGGTTTAAATATTTAACCTCACGGTTAAAGTTCGGGTTTAAATTAAGTCAGAAGTGGCATTTAACCATGAACTTAAAATTTAAGTCAAAACTTTTCGTTCTTTAGTTTTAGACTCAGTTCTCTGATTTTTTATTTTCCTTGAAGTGGCATAATTACTTTAGTTGGAATACTAAAGTAAACACAAATTAACCCTGCCTTAAATGGAGTGTTGGCGAAAAATAATAAATGAAGCTGTAAAGCTGATCCCGAATTGAATTCGATATCGATCGCTACTAATTTTACTTCAAAACATCTATTTTTAAAACACCTAATGTCAAAAAACCTAAAAACAAAACATCCAAAGTGTCAAAACACCTAATTGCAAAAAACCTAAAAACGAAAAATCCAAAGTGTCAAAACACCTAATTTTTAAAACACCGAATGTCAAAACACCTAAAAACAAAACATCCAAAGTGTCAAAACACCTAATGTCAAAAACAACTAAAAACAAAACATCCAAAGTGTCAAAACACCTAATTTTGAAAACACCTAATGTCGAAATACCTAAAAAAACATACAAAGTGTCAAAACACCTATTTTTAAAACACTTAATGTCAAAATACCTAAAAAAAACATACAAAGTGTCAAAACACCTATTTTTAAAACACCTAATGTCAAAACACCTAAAAACAAAACATACAAAGTGTCAAAAAAGGTTCAAATATTCAAGATTTTATTTTCCCATCTTATCTTAAAATTATTTTTAGATACTTTTGTTCTAAAAGAATGCAACATGTTGGTTCAGTTGTCATCAGCAGGAACTTATTTAAATCCAAAATGTTCACTTTTTAATTATTTTTACGTTTTTCATGTTTTTCTTTTAAACGACCAATTTTTAATAAGTTTTGCATAAAGTTGAATCAAAGATTAGTAAAAATTTAAATTGTAAGATTAAACCATTATTTATCAAATTGCTTTCTTCCTGGAGGTCTTCAATTGCAGCTTGAAATATGTGTACTATTCTATTAAGCATCTAATCTATATCTATCTATATACTTTGCTTGTCTGTCTGTTTGTATCTAATAAACGGCTAAACCGATCGGGCCCAAATCTTTTGTGGAACCTTGCGTGACACCAGGGAAGGTTTATGGATGATCAAATTTTCAAAAATTTGCTTTTAACAAAATTCAATTTTTGAAATTGAAAAAAAACACGACATTTTTTTTTATAAAATTCGCAAATTTTTTTGTTTTTGTTTTGTTTTACAATGTATACAGAAAGAACAATTGGAATAGAAGATGGGCGGGAAGCGCCCTAAAAGCCTAGCAGATATAAAACTGTAATCTCTATTTGTCTGTTTGTTTGATTTCTTGTCCGATTTGCCTCAAATTTTGATTAGGGAATTTTTAGATTTATAGGGAAAAACAAGCTAAAATCGTAATTTACGACCAAGCGCGGGTAAACGGCGGGAGTAACAATGGGTACTCAAGCTAGTTTACAAACATACTATTCCCAAAACTGGACTTCTTCATAATTCCCAAAATGGCCATTTTGTTAGGACATTCGATAAAATGCGAGGTAAGGATAAAATTGGGTAGAATTGGGAACAAAGGGATATTGCTGGAAATGTCGATTCCATAAAAGTACGTTTGGAACATTATCACGTACGGGATAAGGAAAAATGTCACTAAACTACAACATTTCAAACTTTTTATTGTAAAAAGTCTTTTTTTTTATTTAAAGATTATAAAAATTACAAAAAGTATAATTTAAATACTTGTCAGTGTTGTTCTTATTAAATCTTCAGTGTATCCATCCAATGGTAAGTATTAACCTACACTCTGCACTAGTTATATAAGAAAAAAAATTTACGATTTTTTTTGGTGGAGGGGGGGAGGGCGTTAAATTTGCTTATCTTGTTTAAACCAATAAAACCCTACATTTATATATATAAAAATATTTCATAATAAAATATTGATATCCACAAAACTGCCTAACACCATTTTTGAAACCCGGGTTTCAAAACTGGTTTTCATAACGATACCCTGTCTTAAGTTTTGGGCTCTGTGCTACTGTACTAGTGTACAATACAATTGAGGTTACAGTAAACACTGTACTCTCTGTGCTATAGTGTACACTTCAGGTTACATTGTACACTGTACACTCCGTGATAGTGTACACTGGAGGTTACAGTGTACACTGTACTCTCCGTGCTAGTGTACACTTGGCACTTAATTTCATGCTATATAAATAAAAATATCTAGGAAATCCTTGATCAAACAAAGGTTTATGGGGGATCGTTGTAAATCGGACATACCCCTCTGTAAATAGAAGGTCACTTGAAATTACGCTTGCAGTCCCTTTGAACTCATATTAATGAATTAATTATATGTTTCCCCCTAGGTCGAGCTGCTTGAGAGCCGANCCCCCCCCCCCCCCAGCATATCCTGGTTTTCAAGTACCCCAGCATAGATAGGGTTAAAGAACGCATGTATGAATCCCAGTGGTGCCCTTTAAACATTTGTCTGATAAATGGATGAATTATCTTTTTATTGTCAAAAAAATACACTACTTGCTGTTTCTCTTTAAAAGTATTAACCAGAAATCAACCATGGCGCATAATCTTTGATGAAACCTTTTAATTAATTCTACAAAACTTTAAACTAGAACTATTACTATTATTTTTTAGGGTACAACGTATAACAATTAGAATATTTATTGTATGAAATAAAGGATATAATTCAATCTTTGCTCTATTCTATAGACTGCAATATGATGGATGTTTAATGGCTAGGCTCGTTTGTCAAGTAGTAAATGACACATAGGCAAATCAAAATTACTGTAATAAGCGTAATTTCGAGTTAATTTTAAAAATGATAGTTTTTTGTTTCGTTTTTATTTTTTCGAAACGCGATCATTGCGTATCTAGAAAAAAATACCCTTTTTGAAAACGAACCACTCGTTTTAAACTTTCAAAAACGATAGTTTTTGAAAAATATTTCGGTATAATGAATCTGAGTTCTATCACAATTAATTAAATTTTTTAGTAAGATAAGCTTATGAATGTTGTCTGAAGTGTTTTTTTATCCAGACAAAAAACCTGAATATTTGCTGATCAAAAAATGTATTTTCTCTTTAAAAGGTCGTTAACGATTGTTAACGAAGAGTCATCGTTAACGGTCATTAACGAAGGGTCGTTTTCAAAAAGGAGTGTTTTTAAAAAACGAAAAACATTTTTTTAACAAAAAAAAATCGTTTGTGAAAACCCGTGTTTTTAAAAAACGATCGGTGTTAAAATCGTTTCGTTTTTCGTTTTTTCTTCGTCGTTTTTACAACGAAACGATAGTTTTAAAAAAAGTGGAAAGGATCCATTCTATATACACAGCACACATTGAAACTTGTGGGAAAATGGTTTTCGTTAAGTTTACATACAAAGATGAACACACAAGGGTTTAAAGGGCCGGTACCGGTGTTAATCTCAGACATTTATACCTTCTTTAAATGAAGGGTCACTTGAAATTACACTTACAGTCCCTTTAAGAATAAATATCATGGCATACAGAATTCAATATGATAAGCTTCAGCATCTCGCATCAGTTCATATGTTGAGAATGAGTTGGGTTTATCATAGGAGGGGTTTAGAACGTACGTATGTTTGTTCTCGGTAAATGGATTTTTAAATGAGGGGCATAAAAAAGGCACAGAGTACAGACTTTGATAATTTGGGTTAGGATTTTAAGGTTGATATCTTGGGTTAGGGTGTCAATACGTGGGGTTTGGATGTTAATATGTGGGGTTCGGATGTTAATATGTGGGGTTTGGATGTTAATATGTGGGGTTTGGATGTTAATATGTGGGGTTTGAATGTTAATATGTGGGGCTGATGTTAATACATGGGGTTCGGATGGTAATATGTAGGGTTCGGATGTTGATACGTGGGGTTTGGATGTTAATACGTGGGGTTCGGATGGTAATACGTGGGGTTTGGATGTTAATACGTGGGGTTTGGATGTTAATACGTGAGGTTTGGATGTTAATATGTGGGGTTCGGATATTATGTGGGGTTTGGATGTTAATATGTGGGGTTTGAATGTTAATATGTGGGGCTGATGTTAATACGTGGGGTTTGGATGGTAATATGTGGGGTTCGGATGTTAATACGTTGGGTTTGGATGTTAATACGTGGGGTTTGGATGTCAATATGCGGGGTGTGGATGTTAGTACGTGGAGTTTGGATGTTAATACGTGGGGTTCGGATGGTAATATGTGGGGTTCGGATGTTTATATGTGGGGTTTGGATGTCAATATGTGGGGTTTGAATGTTAATATGTGGGGTTTGGATGTTAATACGTGGGGTTTGGATGGTAATACGTGGGGTTTGGATGTTAATACGTGGGGTTCGGATGGTAATATGTGGGGTTCGGATGTTAATATGTGGGGTTTGGATGTTATTATGTGGGGTTTGGATGTTAATACATGGGGTTCGGATGGTAAAATGTGGGGTTCGGATGTTAATACGTGGGGTTTGGATGTTAATACGTGGGGTTTGGATGTTAATATGTGGGGTTTGGATGTTAATACGTGGGGTTTGGATGTTAATACGTGGGGTTTGGATGTCAATATGTGGGGTGTGGATGTTAGTACGTGGAGTTTGGATGTTAATACGTGGGGTTCGGATGTTAATATGTGGGGTTTGGATGTTCTTATGTGGGGTTTGGATGTTTTTATGAGGGGTTTGGCTGTCAATATGTGGGGTTTGGATGTTAATATGTGTGGTTAGGATGTTTATATGTGGGGTTTGGATGTTAATATGTGGGGTTAGGATGTTAATATGTGGGGTTTGGATGTTAATACGTGGGGTTTGAAAGTTAATATGAGGTGCTGATGTAAATACGTGGGTTTGGATGTTAATAAGTGGGGTTCGGATGTTAATAAGTGGGGTTTGGATGTTAATAAGTGGGGTTTGGATGGTAATACATGGGGTTTGGATGTTGATGTAGAGAGTTCGACTGTTGCTGTTTCTGAAATTGATTCAAATGAATTCCCTTTGAGGCCTCCGTAAGTTCGTCCATAGTGCTTATAAAAGCATTTTAACCTATTATTAATCTACGATTCTATTTAATAAACTATATGGTTTTGTCCAGTTCCATATCAATTTTTATTTATACATTGAATTCACGTTGAGGCCTTTGAAAGTTCCAGAGTGCTTAAAAAAAGTATTTTTACCAAATGCTTACGATTTCATATGATAAACCTCATGAGTTTTGTCCAGTTTTCAATATATTTTTCCTTTATTTTTGTCTCTAAAACTATTATAAAAATTATTTTATTTAAAGGAGCAGTTAAGGTAAAATGAAAATGAGACATCAGATGGAACTAATATTGGTCGTGATCAACTCCTAATATTTAGCCCCTGGAATGTTTCCTTTGCAGTCCTTTTAATGTTTATTTAGACAAAGTATGCTGTCTCTTTTACCTGAATATCCAACTATACGGGAATATCTGAACTCAACCAACATCACACAAAAGGTAAAATAAACTGTCAACCCTTTTCTTAAAGGGACTGTTAAGCGTGACCCTTCGTGCAAAGATGCCAATGCATAATTTAAAAGATTAAGAGGAATTATTTTATTTTATTTTTTTATGCTTAGTCGATTTAAAGGTCACCATAGATAAACAGGCATGTAACTCTAACTGAGGACCATTTTTATATTTCTATACTTTAGCAGCAATAATTCGAGTCTAAATGAAAATTAAGAATGCTCGAGAATTATGAGGAAAATCCGGGAACAGGAAAACCGGAATCCAGGAACCAGTCAGTCTCATTCCTCAAACACGAGAACACACCGGGATATTAATATATGTCAATTTACCTATTAAGAAAAAACCACATATGTATACGTGTTCTTACTCTAAAATACTAGAAAGTATTTTAAACATTAAATTGATTTTTTTACGGTCTAAGTCGTATGTTGCAATTTTCTCAATTTGTATGGACGCTAAGTTATTCGGTATGAGACGTATAACAATTTTCTCCTTTTGGACGCAACAGATAGAAGTAAGATTAGTAGCGATCAAAAGCGCTTTTTTATCGCATTAAGCCTATACCACTATATACTATATTTCGCGAACACTCCCTTTAAACTCTAAAAGCATTGGGGGGGGAGGCTTTGGGGATTCATTAAATTCAACATTTCTGCTCTAGCCTTTGTACGTGAAAGTTAAAAGTTTAAAGTTAATCTTATGATATTGTACAGAAAAAAAAATTTCAGCCTTTTTGATAATTACGCATACTGAGTTTGCTCCCTTTCATTTTTTATATATTTTTCATGTCATTCTTTCTCAAATGAATATTTAAATATACTAACTTTACATTAACAATGAGGATAATGTAAACAATTCTGGCAATAGCCTTCTTTGCTTCAGTAAAAAAATTCATTTTTATAGATGAAAAATGATCAATTTTCAATTCTAAGTTGATAACACGAATATCTCATTCCTTTTTGCACAGACAATGCCTGTTAATTATTATCATTATGTTGATGTCTAGGGATATTTTTCTACCTGAAGGAGGAGAACTTGAAGTATTGTTTTCTGTATATTTGATGGACTGGGATTTATCAAACAAGGAATCTTCTAAACCTGAACTAGGACCTTCAATTAATCCGAAATTACAGGTTAAAGGGATAGACCGGCCAGATATGGTAGTTGAGATGAGAGTGCAGTATAGTAGAGAATATTTTTGGGGATTCATTTGAGACATAATAGAACTTTTTACGGTGTAGAATTGTTCTGCAAGAGCGAAAATTCCATCTTAAAATCCATTTTGGCAACTGCTTCAACTTTTATGTCTATGCGGTAACTCCCTTTAAAATAATATTGTATTTTTTATGATTTATAAAAAGCATGCACTCTGAGAGTATAAAAAAAAAAGCTTGAGAGTAAGCGAGATAAATTAAGTAATCAAGTACTTTCTTTATTTTTTCTAATGCAGGGGACATTAGTTCCAAACCGGGTTTAAAACTAATTTCCCCTGTGATGGAATTATATAAATTCAATAGCTCTCAGTTTTACAAAAACTATTTTAATTGATTTTAAATTCTGGAAGATATCTACATGCAGGATCGATACAAGTTTGTTTATCTTATATTTCATGATTTCCCTTAGTTGGAAACTTGTTTATATATATCTTTACCAGTTCTTACAGTGATTACCAGAAAACAATGGAATAGGCATTAAAGCAATTATGCTGAAGTGTGCTGGATATTGTTTCAAAGCCAATAATTTTTCTAGAAACTTATTAAATTACTAATTTAGTGAAATGGATTTGTTTACAATGCAAAATTTCTTTTTCCTTTGCTCATTAAACTTTTTAAAGTTATAAATTAATACTAAAAGTTGTCTTTCGTTTTCAAAGTTTTCTGGTTCTCACTGTAGGAGATACTCTTAAAGGATCATTAAAATACACAAGGCCAAAATGAGCCTTCAGAATCTCATATTTTAAGTATTAATGATTGAAATTATGAGTTTGTAAAGGATGAAATTTCTCCTTAAATCTAAACTAGAAATCCTTGAAATGATGGAGAAAATACGTGAAAATATATTCTCCTGGAGAAATCTAGTAGTGCTCCAACTTGCATCGGATCAACTTGTCCTCCTGTATAGTAGTTTATTACCTGCAAATGTATAGCTAACAGATGTCTGATCGGAGGCCAAATTTAAAGAACAAGAACTTGAGCCGCAGCTTAAATGTGAGACACGGCTCCATTATGGTTGGTTCCACTTAAAATCGTATTTAAGATTTCAAGATTAATTTAATCCAGCACTTAATTATGACTGGTTTTTGGCTGACTTAAGACGCCGCTAAAATTCATTAAATTTCTAAAAGTTTATGTTTTCTATTTGAATTGATTATTGTTGATCTCTCATTAAAGTGTATTTGTAGGTTTTCTACGACGAGGATTTAGTGTTTGATATTAGTAAAGCTATCTCTGAACATCAGAACCACTATAAATTTAACAGGTAGAAATTGTTGCAAGATATTTACTTTATAAGGGAGCGTTCGCGAAAAAAAGTGCAGGTATAGGCTGATATCGAATTGGATTAGGTATCGATCGCATTATTCCATAATATGAAATATCAACTTTATACGAATGAAACTCCGTGAATTCATATGAACGCTGTTATTCTTCGCGAACACTCCCTGTAATACGATGTTATTTTATTTCACACTAGCATTTAAAATGATGTGAAATTCCTCAAACCGTCCTAGTCGCAGCGCTCGGCTTCCTAGCGTATCCTGGTTGAATAGCAGTTTCCAGTTTCCAATTTTCATTTCCATATTCTAGTTTCCAGTTTTCAAATTTCAGTTTCCAGTTTCCAATTTCCAGTTTCTAGTTTTCAGTTTCCAGTCTCCAGTTTCCAGTTTCCAGTTTCCAGTTTCCAGTTTCCAGTTTCCAGTTTCCAGTTTCCAGTTTCCAATTTCCAGTTTCTAGTTTTCAGTTTCCAGTTTCCAGTTTCCAGTTTCCAGTTTCCAGTTTCCAGTTTCCAGTTTCCAGTCTCCAGTTTCCAGTTTCCAGTTTCCAGTTTCCAGTTTCCAGTTTCCAGTTTCTATTGTTGAAACCAATAAACTTGCATCTGATTTATGAACACTAGACATCTGCAGGATCATATTGCAACTTTTAGTCTGAAGTATACCACTCTGTACAATCAAATCTACGATTGCAGAAATTGGCATTTATTAAAAGGAAAGTTTATGAAACTTAAAGTGGAAAAGCGATACATATTTGAATTGTATAAGTTCACTGGGATTTTTTTGTGGCCGTAAATAAGAATAGATAACGCGTTTAAAAGGTGCTGTTGTAAATCGGATATGCTATTCTATAGATGGAGGGTCCCATAATATTACTCCTACAGTCCCTTTAACAAGAATCACATGCTAACTTTTGTCTTTTATTAGAAAAATTTAAAGTGTTTACAGAAGCATCTTGATTTATTGATAAACCTTATTTAAACTTATTAGGATTAAAGGGACTGTAAGCGTAATTTTAAGTTACCCTTCATGCAATAATGACAATGCCGGATTTACAACGGTACCCTTGAAAGCTTTGTCTGATAAAGTATGAATTATATATATATCAAAGTTTTTATGTTTATTTTCATTTCCGAATTCTTTTGCGAATGTAACTTGCGCATTTCTTGTTTTTGAGAAGCAATTAAGAACCTCAGAAATAAACACGTTTCGAGTCGAAAAAACGACGATATCTTCCACATTTCTGACCAATATTTTAGGGATACCGTTGCAAATCGGACATTGCAATCTTTGCATGGAGGGTCACTTAAAATTACGCTTACAGTCCCTTTAAGGATTCAGGATTAAGTTGCTTACTCCCTTTTGTTTATAAACAACAGTCGCTTACAAAAAAGTACATTAAATAACCGTAATAAGCGTTTTTTTCTTATTAAAAACAGTATTTTACAATTTCATTACTATTTTGCTATACATTGTTTTTGCTTAACACAATTTTTTCAGGGAAACTGGGGAACTGGGGAAAATTTTATGTGAGTTTGCCGTTTTTTAATTGTCAATTATTTTTAAAAAATCATGAAAAAGTCTTTTATATTTACTTTCAAAAGGGTCACCTGTTTTTGTTTTGCCCGACACGGTCAAAATTTAGTTTCAATTTCTGGATCAGATTCACTTAGAACAAGCAGGTTACTCTTTAAACATTTATCTCTTCGATATTCTGATGATTTCATTGTTTTTCATTGTTTCTCATACAGAATTGTGCATGTCATTTTAAAATAGAAACTACATTTGAAACTAATCAATTTTCAAAGAGAAGAGCATGGATATCATATGCATGCTTGTCTGCAAGAGAAAGCTTTATAAGTGGAATTCGCTTAAAACTACGCCAACAGTCCCTTTAATAAACTTTCTTATTTTAGATGGAATCAGTTTAAGATGTTAAGTGAGTATAGAGAGGGTATAAACATAACAATAACACTGGTAGGAATAGAGATGGGCATCCTTTTTTTAAACGTTTCTATCAAATACGAATTTTTTTAAGAAATAACTAAAACTTTTAAAACTGAACTAACGATTTTTTCGAACAATTTTTTTTAAATAACAAACTAAGTGAAGGAAATAGATGGAAATGAACGATAATTTTGAGAACGAAAATCAATTTTTTTTGAATGAATGAAAAAAAAACTAACGAAATGGATCGTTAACGAACGATGAAAACAAAATAATAAAAGTCGAAAGAGCCCATCTCTAGGTAGGAAGCAGAGGACTCCTTCTTGATAGTTTAACCAATACTAGCTCTTCCCTTCCTGTTCTTATAGACAACTTTAATATAACAACAAGACGACCTGCTCAAAGGTATAGTATATCCAATAATAGTTTATCCCTTCCTGTTCTTATAGACAACTTTAATATAACAACAAGACGACCTGCTCAAAGGTATAGTATATCCAATAATAGTTTATCCCTTCCTGTTCTTATAGACAACATTGATATAACAATAAGACGACCTGCTAATAAATTTTTCATAGCAGAAACAAAGAAAAGAATAAAAAATACCACTACTTTCATAAGCTTTTAATCCTTATATCTTTGCAAGCTGATGTTTCATATACCTTTTCTTTTTCAAAATATAAATCCTTTCAGATCAAAGTGTCAAAGTTTGAAAATCCAAAGGTAGCTTACAAAGAAATAGGGGTTTGAAAATTATATTAAATGGCTTGTGTTTAGTTACTTTTTAATGTCTTTTTACTTTTTCTAGTGATAAAAGTTTTGAGAATAAATCTGGTCGTCTTGAACCTGAAGCAGAGGTGAAGGAGGCGGGGAAATGGAAACCTCTTCAAACAGAAGCAGAAGAGGTAAAAGATAGATATTAAGGGAAGGAAGGGGGAAGGAAGGGGAAAGAAAGGGAGAAGGAAGGTAGAAGAAAGGGGAAACAAAAGGGGAAAGAAAGGTTAAGGATGGGGGAAGGAAGGGGGAAGGAAGGGGGAAGGAAGGGGAAAGAAAGGGAGAAGGAAGGTAGAAGAAAGGGGAAACAAAAGGGGAAAGAAAGGGGAAAGAAAGGGGAAAAAAGGGGGGAAGAAAGGGGAAAGAAAGGGGAAAGAAAGGGGAAAGAAAGGGGAAAGAAAGGGGAAAGAAAGGGGAAAGAACAGGGAAAGCAAGGGGAAATCAAAAGGAAAGCAAGGGGAAAGCAAGGGGAAAGCAAGGGGAAGGCAAGGGGAAAGCAGGAGGAAATCAAAGGGAAAGCAAGGGAGAAGCAAGGGGAATGCAAGGGGAAAACAAGGGGAAAGCAAGGGGGAAAAGAGATAAGAAAGGGGAAAAAAGGATTGAGGAAGGATTATAATGTGGTCACTAGTTAAACTCACTAGTGACATAAAAGTATATATATTTGAATTTAGGAGGCAGAGAATGAAGAAAAAGAACTTGGAAGACCTGCTTTCTGTTCCCTTCTTCCTGAATCTACACCATGTGGCAGGTTTCCTAAGAAAAGGTAAAATAAGTGCTGCGGACTCCCAGTCCCTTTTAATTTTGTTTGGCAACCTAGCGAGATTATCTATCTTTCTTAACCTAACCTGAAGGAATTTTGAAGGAATGTGGAAAAAATTTTGATGAAATTTTGAAGGAATTTTGAAGGAATTTTGAAGGAATTTTGAAGGCCAGGATTTTAGCTTTAAATAAACTTTTTTTTAATGTTCAGATATTATTTTGACGCTGCTCTGGAAAAATGTCAGGAGTTTATGTATGAAGGATGTAAGGTATAGATGATAAACAATTTCAGTGAGAACCAGAAAACTCTGAAACAGGAAGACGACAACAATACTAGCGTGTATTTCATGTCGTTACAAATAGGTCTGTTTACACTGCACAACTGCTGTGTCCCATGATAATTAGACGATTTAAAGTCAAAACTTGAGTCTGAAAGTCGTCTTCTTATTTCAGAGTTTTCTGGTTATTACTATATAAATGCAGTTCCAAGGGGTCTCGGAAAGATGGAAAAGTGTTTACTAAATCAGAAATCATGTACAAAGTGTTTCGTTTTCCATTGCGAAACAATTTGCTGCTTTTTTCAAAAATTTAAACAACCTGTAGTTTTGCAGTATTTGTGTAAAAGTAAAAAGATTTGTTAATTTATTTAATTTTCAACAACTCTGTAAATTTTTACACTGCAAAGAAATCAACCACAATATTTTTATCACAATTTTCATTATTATAATCAACCGACAAGGTTTGTTTTGTATCTTTAGTTTTCATGTGTTTAGGGACTCCCTGTATTCCAAAACATACATTTTATGTTTTATAGATAACATAGATACATCTATAGATAACATAGATACATCTATAGATAACATAGATACATCTATAGATAACATAGATACATCTATAGATAACTTTACTGTACGATTTAAGGGAAAAGACTATTTAAGATCATAGTACTATAGACTATAGTACTATAAACTATAGTACTATAAACTATAGTACTATAAACTATAGTACTATAAAGTACTATAGTACTAAAGTACTATAATAGTACTATAGTACTATAATAGTACTATAGTACTATAGTTTATAGTACTATAGTTTATAGTACTATAGTTTATAGTACTATAGTCTATAGTACTATAGTTTATAGTACTATAGTACTATAAACTATAGTACTATAGACTATAGAATTCAAAGACTGAATTCTATATCCCAGGGTAAATTAAATTCAAATGAAAACCAGTTTGATGATCTTGAAACCCTTTATATTGTCAAGGAAATGAAAACCAGTTTGATGATCTTGAAACCCTTTATATTATCAGTGAAATGAAAACCAGTTTGATGATCTTGAAGCCCTCTGTATTATCAGGGAAATGAAAACCAGTTTGCTGATCTTGAAACCCTTTGTATTGTCAAGGAAATGAAAACCAGTTTAATGATCTTGAAACCCTTTGTATTGTCAAGGAAATGAAAACCAGTTTAATGATCTTGAAACCCTCTATATTGTCAAGGAAATGAAAACCAGTTTAATGATCTTGAAACCCTCTGTATTATCAGGGAAATGAAAACCAGTTTAATGATCTTGAAACCCTTTATATTGTCAAGGAAATGAAAACCAGTTTAATGATCTTGAAACTTTTTGTATTGTCAGGGAATTGAAAACTAGTTTTATGATCTTGAAACCCTCTATATATTGTCAAGGAAATGAAAACCAGTTCAATGATCTTGAAACCCTCTATATTGCCAAGGAAATGAAAACCAGTTTGATGATCTTGAAACCCTCTATATTATCAGGGAAATGAAAACCAGTCTGCTGATCTTGAAACCCTCTATATTATCAGGGAAATGAAAACCAGTTTGCTGATCTTTAAACCCTATTTATTATCAGGGAAATGAAAACCAGTTTGCTGATCTTGAAACCCTATTTATTATCAGGGAAATGAAAACCGGTTTGATGACCTGGAAACTTGCAAGCTAATCTGCGCTACACGGGAACACATAGAACCCCTTCAAATCTCTCTAAGGTATAAAATATTTGTTTTTGATTATTTAAAAATATTCTTAAAAAAACATTTAAACACATTTATTAAAAAACAAAGGAATTGAGTTTTTGCCGCAAACTTTGATTTTTTAATCAATTTATGTCTTTGCAACATAATGTAGTTTACCTTAGATATTTCAAATTTTTATTTGTGTTATGTTCAAATAATCTAAGTTTAAAAAATCAAATGCTTACACCATCGGGTTCCGTAGAAATAAGGATAAGAACACTTGAGTTTGTGGCGAAGATCAATGATTGTTAAATTAACTAAACTATTAGATAAGATGAAAATAGTGCTTCCAACGCAAGTGGATTTTACATGCGCGCAATTGCAAGCTCTGTACACTCCGTGCAATTCAGCATATGTTTCTTATGTTTTTACTTCAGAAAAACTGAATTTACCAGCTTTGAAAGTGGATTCCAGGTAGTAAAATAGAATTTTAGAATTTTTTTAGACATCTGCATGTACTGCTCATTGTAACATACATGGTGTCTAAACTAAGTGAACAAAAAAAATCAGCTTTGATGTATTTCCGACAAGGAGAACCAGAAAACTGTAAAATATAAAGACGATTTTTTGACTCAAATTATGATTTTAAATAGCCTAATACCATATTAAACACATGTAATTGTGCTGGCAGTGTACTTAGACCCATTTACGTATACGAATTTGTTTATTCTATACAAATTGTATATGCCGACAAAAAAGTATTTAAGAAAAAAGGCTAAAAAATTATTTTTAACGGGTTAAATTGTGATCTAAAGTCAAAGCTTTCAAATATATTGACAGAACAGTTAAATCCACGTGAATTGAAATAGAAGAAGGGCGCGAAGCGCTCTAAAAGCCTAGTAGCATATATTTCGGACAAAGTACACTTCAGGATTTGCAAATATATGTGTTATCAAATACTTAATAAAAATAATTAGTTGGGTGTTTATTGTTTACAAAGTTAGTTTCCATTCAGGAATCAATGATCAAATTTAAAATTCGGTGATGGTGATGGACCAAACCTCTGTAGAGTAAAAAAGTAGATGTTAGTTCCACAATGATCAAATTTCTAAATACTGATCGAGTATGAATTGTTCTTGTTCACCTATAAAGTAAAGAGATAATTTCAATGTTCTTCTGTTTAATTGAACCCGAGATGGAATTTAATGAATTTAAGCCGCGGATTAAATCTGCCAAAAGCCGCTTTAAATTAAGCGCCGGCTTAAATCTTGAAACATTTGATACAATTTTAAATGGAACCAACCATATTTAAGCCGCGGCTTGAATTTAAACCGCCGCTCAAATTCTTTAAATTCGGCCACCGATCAGTTAAGATCAAGTGGGACTGTCGATGATATACATATTGAACAGTTTCCTAATGTTAAGCCTTTTTTTAACATCATGGCGTGGGGGCAGAGTGAACAGGTTTTTAAAAAAAGCAAATTTATCAGTTTTTTTCTGGATATAATTAACTTGAGTGGCCAGACTAAGATATTTAATATAAGTCAAAAAACCTTATGAATTAAAAAAGATAGATTTTAACTTTTTTGATCAGACAAATATCGTAATTATAAACATTTTTTTTCACTTTCCTCTCTCCGTCGTTTTCCTTATTGTACTTTGAGTTAAGAGCAAGCTTGAAGATTCGCTTTGATCTTGGAAATAACATATTCATTAATCAACACTTTTACATTGACTATTATAACAAAAATCACAAGATTTCCTAGTTCTGGAATTTCCAGTGGTCAACATTTTTTGTGTGTTATATATTATCGGAGATATATATTGACCATTTTGTAGAAATCTGAACTAAATCTGACCAGCAGTTTTGAAATTGCGATTTGAAATGCCAGGACCAGGCTTTTTTGTGATTATGAATTTGGGTTTTTTGATTCTAAATCACTGATTCTGGTGTTTCTTTCAATCCATCAATCTATTAATCTATTAATCTATTAATCTATTAATCTATCAATCTATCAATCTATTAATATATCAATCTATCAATCTATCAATATATCTATCAATATATCTATCAATATATCTACCTATCTGTCTATCTATCAATCTTTCGATCTATCAATATCGATCAATCTATCAATCTATTTATCCATCTTTCTTCGCTCATATATACATATTTGAATATTTGTGTTTATATATGTTATATATAGCTGGCCAAACAGCTATCCCAAATTTGTTGAATTTTTTTCAGACAATCCGTGGATACCCTAGGGGGATCAAAGGCTAAAAAAATTTTAAAAAAATAATTGTCAAAAATCGAAATTTTTTTCTTTCTAAATTAAATTTTTTTCAATATTTTATTTAGTTTTTTTTATTTCACGGGCAATGCCGGGCACTTCAGCTATTCTATCTATCTAAATATCTATCTCCAGGGTTGGAACACCAGGAACTGGGAGAAGGTGAGCTATGAAGAGAAGAAGAATGGATTTATTGTTCCAACACCACCGATCCTTCATCCGGACAGATCTACCAATGAGGTTTGTCAGCTGTGTTGAGTTCACACTGTACACTAGCGCACACTCCAGTTTTACGGAAATTTAAGCATTATTTAAGGGATAAGTTCTCCGGCCCCAATAATAAAACAAAAGTTTAAAGGGTATGGTTCTAAATCGTGCATTCTACTCCTTGAATGAAGGATCCCTTAAAATTATGCGTACAGTCCCTTTATTGTCCCTTTAATTATTAAAGCACATGCTGACAATAGTAAATTCTTATTTAATTCTTTAATGTCCCAACATAAAGTGCATGAAAAGAGTCGCAGTTAAGAATGTCGTTTAAATTTCAAATCATTTGTAAATTAAGATTTATTTGACACTTTTTATGCGTTTTTTTTATCTAATATATATGCACGTGTTTTTAACAAATATGAAGTTTGAGTTTAAAGTTTTTATTTAATCAGTTCCTCTATAACGTTTTTATTCAATCAGTTCCTTTATAACGTTTTTATTTAATCAGTTCCTTTATAACGTTTTGTTTCTATTTTCAGCAATAATTCTTTTAAACCCCCCTCTCTTAGATGAGAAAAGGATGAATATCGAATATTTTAAGACAATAAAGAAATATTTCTTTTTAAACATTTTAGATTGGTATTTCTCCGGTTCACCGTACCTTTGATTTTAGACTTCCAGAAATGACGCAAGTAAGAAAAATATATAAAATAGATCTATATAATAAAAAAGCCATTGGTATATATAGCTGGCAAAACGGCTTGACCGAATGGGTGGACATTTTTTGTGGATACTCATGAGGATCCGCGGGGTGAAATAGGCTTTAACAAAATTGGATTTTTTTATTTGGATTTTTGATTTCAAATCTCACTACCCTCAATACCAAAGTTTAGAAATATAAGATGACATTTTTTATTTGAATTTTTGATTCCACAATTTGAAAATAAAAGTTTAAATTTTATATTCTCATTTTGGATTTTTAAATTTCACTACCGCCAATACCACAGTTTGAAAATAAAAGTTGAAATTTTTTATTTGGATTTTTGATATTCAAATCTCACTACCCTCAATACCACAGTTTAAAAATATAAGTTGAAATTTTTTATTTGGATTTTCGATTTTCAAATCTCACTACCCTCAATACCACAGTTTGAAAATAAAAGTTGATATTTATATTCTCATTTTGGATTTTCAAATCTCACTTTTTTATTTTTTTCATGAATCTCACTACCTTAGAACTTGACACTAGGGCATTTTATACCTACAGGGGGCAACGCCGGACCCTCAAGCTAGTATTAGTTGGCCGTATTTTGATAAAAAATGACGAAAAAGTTTAACTCTTTGATGTGATTTGTAAGCGTATTTTTTTTGTTAATATATTCTTTTCTGCATATTTTGCTTGTTAAGATGCTTTTTAATTTACGTAACTTAGAAATTAAATTTAATTGACATCAGGAGTTTTTGGCAGAGGAGAATGCAATGCTTCTAATTGGTAATTTTTTTTACATCTTAAACATGTTATTTTCAGCCCTAGGCATTTTCTAAAAACAATTTCCAGATAATTTTGATTTGACAAGAAATAAAATAATTTGTTAATTCTGTAAACCCAGTCAATTCTAGACAATATATAGATATAAGCCTTTTGTTTGCAAGGGACAATCTATTTACATCATTTCAAGTGACCCTGATTAATATATAAATATATATATATTTAGGAAAATATAGGGAATGTCCGATTCAAAACGGTACCCTTAAAAGCTTTGTCTGATCAAGGTAATAAGGCAAGGAAAGTTAATTGCTGTTTCGTATTCTCTGCGTACATATTGAAACCAGTTCTCACCGGGCGGTGTTTGAAAACAAGAATTATAGATGCAGCAGTGTTACTCTAGTATCCAAGGAGGATAAAAGCATTTAATTTAGAAAATTTTGATAATTCACATTATAGTTTCCTATGACCAAAATATTTCATTGATTTTTTATGTGAAAGATGGATCCTATGTCAGGCTGTGACATCCGTCTTGTGTTTACATTACCGCCCAGAGATAGAACACTGCAGTACTAAAAATGCTTCCACCTCTGAAATAACTATCTTTACATTATAATTCTACTGGTGTCTGATCAAATTTTTATGAGATAATTCATGTTCAAATTTGAAAACTGAAAACTTTCAATGTGGTTTCCGTCCTAAAATGTGTATTTCTGCTAGCTGCAGGAAAACAAAGTAGGAATTATAAGAATAAAACACTTTTCAAGTTAGAAAAACTACATTTCCGCATTATTGATTAAATAATGGTTTCAAGGGTACCATGGTGAATCGGACGTGCTTCTCTTTTTTTTTTTTTAAATGAAAGGCCACTTAAAATTACAAGGACGATCCCTTTAAGTAAATTATTTTAACGACAAAAAGTTTTTAAAAATGATAATAATTCAATTTTCATTTAATTCAATTGTTTTAAAATTTTTTTTAAAACATGTTAAATACTTTTTGTATTCAATAATTTGAATTTTTCAACGTTTCTGGTTTCAGCTTTTCAACTGCTGGTAAAGGGAGTTTCTAGCTCAGGTAAGCATTGAAAGGGATAATAGTTCTAGTTACTCTTAAATATAGTACATGTTAGCACAGTAGTTACTAGTAGTTTAGCAGACACCCTGGGAAGTTATGTGCGCATGCCGCAATAAATTATAAGACAAAGAGAGAGAACCTGTTCTATCCGCGGTGCTCAGCCCCCTAGCTTGTCCTAGCCGCAGCCTACCCCTAAAATATATTCTAATCTCACTCTTCTTGTAATTCAACGCGGCAAGTGCACGTAACTTCCTTGGGCAGCTACCCAGTAGTTTTATAGAACATCGTAAGGAAAATATAAAGTTCCCCCCCTCCCCTTGTTAACAAAAACAAAATTATACAGTGAAATATGCAAGTGTACTTTGATCCCCTTCTTTACACTATATAATTCATATAGCAGAGTAGATAAATCAAATAAGAAAAAGATGAATAATTTAAAAATTATAGCATTATTGCTAAATGAATGTAAAAATAAAAAGAAATGTAAAAAAATGAGAGGAGGAAATATTTATGCACATAGATCCCTATAGATCCAGACTGGAATAAAAAGTTGATGTGTTGAAACGCCATAGTCTTTGATCTCCGACAGCCACTGTTCAGAACTATGTTTCTATCTTTAATTTTTGAGAAATAATTGGGAAAATTATCATAATTTTTGCGTTAAAGTTAACAACTTTTGGATCACTGGGAATGATTTAAAGTTTAAAGGACGGAAAAAAATATAAAAATATAAATCATTGAAAGATTCTTAATCAATTTCTCAGTTTCAATATGTTTGACAAACATTACTCTTATTTTTGTCATAAGTAACGTGTCATAATGATTACATTGGGCACGATTTTTTTTATTTTACGAAGTAAAAATCTTTTTTGTTATCGGTCCCCATAGGTTTTTCGTAGCGATTTTTTGAATTTTACGAAGTAAACATTTTTTGTTATCGGTCCCCATAGGTTTCCGTAGCGAGGCTCTCAATATGTAGCCTGCGGCGTCTCTGAGGGCTATTCTATGTAATATATCTGTATTTATAGCAAATTTATCTATTTAAGCAAGCAAATGTGACAATTATGGCAAGTATTTTTGTCACTTATGGCAAACGTGTTTTGGCAATTTGTAATTGAGGCAAAATAAATTAAGAGCAAGTGTACATAGCTAATTATGGCAAATATAATCATGGCAATAATATTATGGCAAATGAAATTGAGCCAAATGTAGGGTTTCAAGCGAACGTAAACTTTTGCAAAAAAAGGCCAAATTTCGCGAAAACGAATGTTGCGAAAGGAGGCAAAATAAGCGAAAATTTTCTTTTTTTACGAAATTTCGCGTTAATCTGTTTCGCAAAAAAATGCGAATTTTTCGCCTTTATGACGAAAAAAAAATGTATGCAAAAACTTTGCATTTTTCGAGAAATTATTTCTTCATTTCGCTGGATTCCCTAGTCGTAATAAACTGAATGTTTGTCAGGTCTTCTCTCCTTCTTCCTTCGGTTAGACCCTGGCCTGGAGATTTATGTTGGAAACGTTAAAGTTTTTGATTTTGTCACACAGGGGGTTGCAGACGAGGTAAAAATATTTTGTTTATTTTTATTAGATTACACATTTTAAATTGCGTATCTTGAAAGAACAGTATATAAAAAGAAGCGGAATACTTTTTACCTTGGAAATTTTAAAGGCGGGAAGGAATTGAGTCTCAATCACGAACTCAAGTTTTCTAATCCTTGTATCTTAACAACCTGATGATGTAATCCTTTAATAATTCAAACTTAGACTTTTTAATCTATATGAATACCAGATTTTGTATTTCAGCACTGGCATGAATACCATATCTTATATTTCAGCACTGGCATGAATACCATATCTTATATTTCAGCACTGGCATGAATACCAGATCTTGATGAATAAAACTGAGGTTTATGAACACAGAGTTAAAAGTGGAGACCAGAATCTACTTATTACAATCAGGGTAAATATCAATATATTTGTATCCAATAAACGATATTACTATCAGGGTAAATATCAATATATTTGTATCCAATAAACGATATTACTATTAGGGTAAATATCAATATATTTGTATCTAATAAACGATATTACTATCAGGGTAAATATCAATATATTGGTATCCAATAAACGATATTACTATCAAGGTAAATATCAATATATTTGTATCCAATAAACGATATTACTATTAGGGTAAGTATCAATATATTTGTATCCAATAAACGATATTACTATCAGGGTAAATATCAATATATTTGTATCCAATAAACGATATTACTATCAGGATCCAATAAACGATATTACTATCAGGGTAAATATCAATATATTTGTATCCAATAAACGATATTACTATCAGGGTAAATATCAATATATTTGTATCACTATCCAATAAACGATAAAAATTCGATAATATTTACTGTTATTTTATTTTAATTCGTTTCATAGTATGCAAATTAATAATTAATCTGATAATTAATAATGAATCTGATATTTAATGGATAATATCAATTAAATTATTTTAGACCACTGTTTGTTTAAATTCCAGGGATTGTTACGAGAAATGGCTAGTTTTATTGGGTTTACAGCAAAATAGAAAATCCGCTTCGCGAAAAAAAATGCGAACATTTTCCCTTATTTTCGCGAAAATTCGAACTTATCTGTTTCGCTTCCTGTATCAAAATGCATTTTCGCGAAAAAAATGCAATAAATGTTGCGAAATACGAAAAAAATTTTAGCGAAATTTCGCACTTTTTCGCCAAAGTTTTCCTCTGCTGGAAACCCTAAATTTGTTAAATAGAAACATCTGTTAATTTTTTTATTTTTAGGGCTGGTTGGGGTCAAATGGAGAGGGACTTCTTGTTGTGGACAATATTAATATAACTCAAATACCAGACCCTAACTCTTCTAATTCAAGTACGATAACAAAAGGTAAAAAAATACATCAAAGGGACTGTGTGCGTAGTTTAAAATGACCCTCCATGCAAAGATGGCAATGCCCGATTTACAACGTAACCCTTAAAACCTTTATATGTCGATTATGTTGAAGATTATGAAACCGTCCTTTTCTGAGTCGAAAAGTTTGTATTTCTGTAAGATTCCCCATTGCTCCTCTTATAAACGATAAATGCGCACATGTCAATTTCGCAGAGAAACCTCAAATAAAAATAAAAAGTCTAAAGAAGCAAAAGTATTAATACCTAATTCATACTTGATCAGACAAAGCTTTGAAGGGTACAAAATTGTAAATCGAGCATTGGTACCTTTGCATGGAGGGTCACTTTAATTTACGCTTACAGTCCCTTTTAGCTGACCCATAAAACTGTGAAAGGGAAAACGATATTTCAGCAATATTTTGATATTTTTCATGTTGTTTTTTGTAAATAGTTTAACCAGTAGCTTCAAAGTCAACTTGTTTAATGAAGTTGGTCTGTGTACAGTTACACTGTACAGAATTGTTGTGTTTTTTTGTTCATCAGACTAATTTAAAGAATAACTTTAATATTAAATTCGTCTTTCTTCCTTCCGCAGCTTTGTTACAGGTCTCGCTGTATAATATGTTTATATTTGCCATGCTGCTGCATTTCTCATGTTTTATTTAGTAAATATTTGTATACATTAGCACTAATAATTTGGTGTTGATTTGTAATAGAATAGATCAAATAGATTGTCCAGTACAATAGATGACAACAGAAAAATCGACCAATTATGCACGACATGTGTCAAACATAAAAAGACGACATTTTGTCCAACCAGTTGATATGATTTCCAAGATTTAGCTTAGATAAATATTGTCTTTGAAGGAATACGTTAAAAAATAGATATCCCATCTATTGTACTTGACATCTATTTGGAATAGAATAAATACTGAAACTTTAACCCAGCTAAACAAATATTTTTTATTTAAAAATGTATACCTTTACGGTCTTGATAAAATGATAGATTAAGGTTAATATAAATGATTAGATGTAAACACAAAATCATTCTCAACCCCTCAATCATCACCACTAACAACAACAACACTTACAACAACAACAACAACAACAACAGAAACAACAACAAAACACACGATGAATGACTGTAGTGCTCAGAAAGAGGAAGGTACTTAACACACATTCACGTTTCATTAGTTTACAGATATTGCTAATTTAGCATGAAGCACTTTTTATGGAAACCAAATTTTTGTTCCGGCAGCAATTTTTTGTTACAGAAAATATAGAAATAAGGATTTAATTTGGTTTTTATTTATCTGCACTCGTCGTCGTATTTATACCAATACAATGAAGACGAATTTTTCTTTTATTTCTACCAAGCCTTTAAACAGCAATTAAACAGCTTCTCTGTGTAAACTTTTAAGCTTGATAGCTCTATCTATATATAAATTTGGCTTGTCTGTCTGTTTGGGTGCCTGTTTGTTTGTTTGTATCCAATAAACGTCAACACGGCTAAACCGATCGGGCCCGAAGGAAGCTGGAAGGTTTATGAATGATAAAAATAAAAAAATGTGTTTTAAAGGTTTTTAATTTTGTAAAAAAAATTTAATTCTTGAAAATCCGCGATTTTTTTTTTAAAAATCCGCAAAATTTTTTTCTTCTTTGTTTTAAAATGTAAACAAAAAGAACATATTCAAAATTTAAATAGAAGATGGGCGCGAGCGCCCTAAAAGCCTAGTTATTCAAATTTTGATAGCTCTAATAATTAAATTTTGAAGTTATTCAAAGGTGTACACCAACAGGTTCTAAAGATGTACAGATTAGAAAATTGGAGTTTGTGTCAAGTGTTCAATTATTTGTTAGTTTATCAAGATTGTATTTATTTGTTTTCTTCTTGATGTTTCCCAAAAGGAAAGGGTCCTTGACACACCCAGGAACCAATTAGCCGGCCCTTCAGTACAGGACATATTACAGTACAGTAGAGTACATAGTATTACGACTCGACATAGTGTGTCAACTGTCGAGGGAGAGAGAGAAATGTAACCCATCCTGTGCACTGAGGGAGGGAACCCCCGGACGCCATAAGCCTCCTCTATGCAGACAAAAGCATCCCAGATTTGCTAGGCAGACCGAGCCTCAGCTATGCAGCAATAAACATTCGCAAGACATCAAATGTGCCTGTGTAATACAGGAGGTTTTTTAAACTTGTGTTTTAAGTTTGATTAAAAGATTTGTTTACAAATTGTTCGACTTAGTGACATGAGAGGTTTCTCAAAGATGAGAAGTATTTATAATTATCATAAATAGTGCCTAATTATGACTAGTAAAGTGTTAAATATAACTTTAAACATTTTTTACATGAAAAGGAAAATATTTAGAGAAATCAATTTGAATTGAATTTCATTTCATCTTTTATAATGTTTGATTTTGTTGAAGTTGGCAACTCTCTAAAAAGCTCACTGTATGTAAATGGATGACATATATAGTTGTATTAGAATTTATTCACATATTCAGCTTCAGGAACGTTCTATATAAATCACAAGTTGATAATTGAACTAGAAACAATAAAAATAAAAAGATTAAGACAGTAAGTACTAAATAACCATTTGTTGTTAACGTTAATAGGCTCAATAGTTATTTGTTTAAATCGTATTCAATAATTTATCAACTCTTAGACCTAATAGTTCAGATTATACGGTTACTATAACATCGCGAGTTTTGCCAGAACTAAGAGCTTATAGCAACTCAAATGAATCTTTACTTAAATAGGAATACTATTTGTATAGGAAAAAAGTCTCTACACAAACATAATTTGTCTTGTACTATGGATACATTCTACTGTACTTGGGAAGAATTTTTACCCCTGGCTGACAGGTATATATATACCTGAAAACCTTGTCTAGTCTAAGCCAAGGGTGCAATATTAAGATCTCATTTACATATGCACAGTCCAAACAGATTTAAACTATGCCTTTTTCGTAGTTCAATTAAATTCTAACATTTTTCAAAAAAAGGTTTTGTTTAAATCAAAGATTACAACAAACAAACTAAGTTTACTCCAGAAATGTTTTCCAAATATCTTCCTTTCTGCGTAAGAAATGTTTAAAGTTCTAGTATTAATCTTATAAACCTGCATGTTGCAAGTCCATATATGTTTCTAAACATGATAATCAATAAATAACTCTAATCTTCAGTAAAATTCTTATGCAACTACGTCAAAAAAAAGTGTTAACATTTTTCAGTGCACATAAAAACCAAGATTTTAAGGCTCATTTACTGCAAAGCGGAGGAACAGTCTGCATAGCTGAGGCTTGGTCTACATAGTGGAGGCTCGGTCTGCATTGCAACTCTGGGAGGCTCGTGTCTGCATAGCAGAGGCTCATGGCGTCCCGGGGTTCCCTCCCTTGTGCACTATGGACAATTTTTAATTAGCCACGGAGGCCATCTGTGAGACATTCCATTCAAACAGTCTGCCTGGTCTGCCCCGGTCTGCCGGTTTATTAATTGTAAATTGGTGGTAAAGTTCAAACTAGGACCGCAAAGGTTGGCCCAGCTTTGATATTCAAATGTACACCGGTTGTTTGTGCGTTCTTTGCAAAGATAATATATATATAGATATGCAGGCAGGTAGAAACCTCCTTCCTAAATTGCTTGTAGCAGACAACTAATTTTTGAACCTCTGAGAAAATGTGCAAGGAGAGACATCTATAACAAATTGATTACTTTCTATATTCCTTTCTCCCCTTGCTGCTATCTGTAGGAAATACGCATTTGTGTTATATAAACATACAGTACGCGTATTGCATCCTGTATAGTTCAAGTGTTGCTATCTGGACTTGTTTGACCAATAAAATTAAATTCCAAGGTAACACAAAGATACAGTACGCGTTTTGTTTATGTTATGATCAGTTCATTTGTAATTTTTCTTAGACTCGATGTACTTTTATAGTCATAATTTTTATTTAAATTGCGTTAATTTACGTATGCCATTCAGTACAACTTGCACATTTAAACTTTGTCTTGTCAAATTCCTACCTCAGTTTTATTTGCATTGTTGAATTTGTTTCATTAAGTACAATATGCAGTATACATTGTTGATACTATAGTACGCATTTATAGTGTTATCACGCATAAACAAAGTGATAAATTAGCAACAATCCAGAGGATAAAATGCCATGCGTACGACAGAGATGGTGCTGTTTGCACATTTTCTCAAGACCTCTAAATTTATACCTGCCTGCATATCTATATATATATTATCTTTGGTTCTTTGCCATGGTGGATTTGTTACAAATTTATTTTCTGACATGTCGGTGGTGTTGTACTCCATGTCGTACATACATTCCTGATGAATAAATAGTGTTGTCTAGGAGACTGCAAGGGTATGTTTAGCAGATACTATTATAACAGCAGGGTGAGAACATGTATCCAGTTCTTCTGGTCAGGATGTGGGGGTAATTCTAATAGGTTAGTATTACAGGTATAAAAGAAATCATTTGAGATCTATAACACGTGTATGCGGTGTATTAATTGCTAAGAGCGTAGAATATATCTTTGAAATCCTCCTGGCGCTCGCCCCCAGACAGGTTGTGGTGTGGCAAACCTGTCCAGCAGGTTGTGGCGCAAGTCGCAACACGCCTGCCCGGCAGGTTGTGGCGCGGCATACAAAATTAATACTGCACTCTCAGCTCAAATACCATGTCTAGCCATACACTCCCTTTAACAGAAAAAGTCGCTTAAACGAGTATAAAACCATAATCCAAGTAACTTTTAAAGAAGAAATATCCAGATTTTTATCAACTTTTAAGACTAGTTTTTATTTCAGATTTTTGACTGAGGAGGAGTGTAAAAGCAGTTGTCTTTCATCCAGAATTGATTCTTCAACACCAAATCAGGTTTTTATATTGTGTAAAGGTCTACTGTGTGCGTGATGTATCGTGTAAAGGGACTGAAGGCGTAAGTTCAAGTGACTTAAAATTTATATTTTCTGTTGTGATCTCTCTATCAAAGTGATTTAAAACAGCAGTCGACATTATGACATAGAACGTAATTTACAAAATACTTGCCTTGCCGAGCTGAAAAAGACGATATCTATTGTTTAAATATTTAAAGGGTATCGTTGTTAATCGGGCATACCATTTTTTTTAAATGGATTAACTTTCGATTAGTTGTCTGAGTAGACATTCTCGTCCGATCACTGAAGTTAAGCAACATTGAGCTAAGTTAGTACTTAAAGGATGGGTGACCGCTTGGGAATACTTAGTGCTGATGGTGTATTTTTGGACTTACGCCCATCCCCTCTACTGCCCATCCGACCTACAAGCACGTGGTTTTAACAGCTGTGGTAGGTCCGATGCACTGTAGGTCGGATGGGCACTGTAGGTCCGACCTACGAAAAGTGCCCATCCGACCTACAAAAAATGCCCATCCGACCTACAAAAAATGCCCATCCGACCTACGAAAAATGCCCACCCGACCTACGAAATATGCCCATTCGACCTACGAAAAATGGCCATCCGACCTACAAAAAGTGCCCATCCGACCTACGAAAAATGCCCATCCGACCTACGAAAAATGCCCGTCCGACCTACGAAAAATGCCCATCCGACCTACAAAAAGTGCCCATCTGACCTGCAAAATTGAGTGGCCGTCCGACAGCTACAATTAATTATTTCTACCCTACTGCACTATAGGCATATGACAAAAGCTGCTGAATAGGTCAGATGTTGCCGTAGGTCGGATGGGCACTATAGCGGATGGGCAATAGGACGGATGGGCAGTAAACATTACCTTAGTGCTCACAATTAGTCTGGAAAGAAATAATTTGAGACCAAGCTCCTTTCAAGACCCCAAATGCCATTTCATCTGGAACTCCCAGATTTTCACTGGAAACCCTCCAGCTTTCATTGGAGAGTTTGGACCCCTAAATTATGTTGATCTATTATGAACGTCTATGGATATAAGATGAAAGATGAAAACCCGCCAGTTGTGGTCTCCCTCAAGAATGGGTCTCCGGTGGTACTCCAATAATGGTGAAAAATATTTCGATACCTACTTTTTGTAAAATATTATTTTAAATTTAGGAGTTTACTGTTAACAATGCCGAGGAAGTGTGTGCTCAACCACTTGAGCCAGGATCTAGCTCATGCTCACAAAAGGTATAATTTGAGCCTGGAACCAGCTCATGCTCATAAAAGGTATAATTTGAGCCAGGATCAAGCGTATGCTCACAAAAGCTATAATTTAAGCCTGGATCCAGCTCATGCTCATAAAAGGTATAATTTGAGCCAGGATCAAGCTTATGCTCACAAAAGGTATAATTTGAGCCAGAATCCAGCTCATGATCACAAAAGGTATAATTTGAGCCAGAATCCAGCGCATGCTCATAAAAGATATAATTTGAGCCAGAATCCAACTCATGCTCACAAAAGTTATAATTTGAGCCTGGAACCAGCTCATGCTCATAAAAGGTATAATTTGAGCCAGGATCAAGCTTATGCTCACAAAAGGTATAATGTGAACCAGAATCCAGCTCATGATCACAAAAGGTATAATTTGAGCCTGGAACCAGCTCATGCTCATAAAAGGTATAATTTGAGCCAGGATCAAGCTTATGCTCACAAAAAGTATAATGTAAGCCAGAATCCAGCTCATGCTCATAAAAGGTATAATTTGAGCCAGAATCCAGCTCATGCTCATAAAAGGTATAATTTGAGCCAGGATCAAGCTTATGCTCACAAAAAGTATAATGTGAGCCAGAATCCAGCTCATGCTCATAAAAGGTATAATTTGAGCCAGAATCCAGCTCATGCTCATAAAAGGTATATTTTGAGCCTGGAAAAGCTCATGCTTATAAAAGGTATAATTTAAACCAGCTAGGATCTATAGCTTATGCTCACAAAAGGTATAATTTGAGTCAGGATATAGCTCATGCTCATAAAAGAAACACATTATTCGTATTTTTTAATGCACATATTTAATATTGTATATATTCAACTTCTGTTATAATCCAAATCAATTTAGGGAAGACGTTTATTTTATGTGGAATTGCTAGTACGACTTTGCACCTTAGCAACCAACTCTAGTATTTGTTTTCACACCAACCAGTTAAAAAAAAATATTTGGTTGCAATTTAAAGACAATAATAGTCGCTATATGCAGATTTCACACAAAAATTAAATGAATTTTAGTTTAATATAAATTATCTAAGTGAGCATTTTTTATGCAATTTTTAGGATGAAAGATAAGATGAAATATTTCTAACGAAACTAATTATTCCCCCAAACTCTAATTTGTAACCTCATCTTATTGTAACTTGAGCTGAGAACTTTTATCCTAATGGAGATCAAGATCAATGCTTTTGTTTATCTGCAGATTAATTAATTCTTCATCTCAACCTAAAGATGTAATTGAAATGAAGAGATTAAGCATTATTCCACAAGAAAGTGCCCACTGTGGATATCGAGATCACGTGATCTGGATTATTATTATTCCACAAGACAGTACCCATTGCGAATATTGAGATCACGTGATCTGGATTATTATTATTATTCAACAAAAAAGTGCCCACTGTGGATATCCAGATCACGTGATCTGGATTATTATTATTATTCAAGAAAGTCCCCACTGTGGATATCGAGATCACGTGATCTGGATTATTATTTTTCCACAAGAAAGTGCCCACTGTGTATATCGAGATCACGTGATCTGGATTATTATTATTATTATTCAACAAAAAAGTTCTACGCTCTGTTGTATGTTTTTTAGACCTTTGATAACAATGATAACTGTATTTAAGTTGGAGAGATTCTACTTTGATGTAGAGGTTGGATCCTGTGTTTCCTTCCTATTCTCCGGATGTGAAGGAAATGAAAATAATTTCCTCGCCCTGTCTGACTGCTCACAGTTCTGTAGTAATGTTACTATCAAACAGGAAAAACATGTTTTTTTAAATTTTTTTATTGTTGTTGTTATTTTTGACATCCATAACTTTTTTTCAAATTTTTTAATCTTTGGATTTTTTAATTTTTTAATCTTTGAATTTTTAAATTTTTTAATCTTTTTCATTTTTAATTTTTTTCATCTTTAGTTTTTTATAAATCCTGAAGCAAAGAGAATTGGCTAAAGAAAGATGAACATTATGATGAGTTGTGTATTATTGGTAGTCGATGTTCGTAATAGTTGTCATAATGGTACAAAATGTTCCAATAAATATTGGAATTGAGACTTTGAGATCGTCCTGGTTAAGAATTAGCATTGTAATACCTATTGTAATACCTATGTTTTTAAAGTTAATGGGAAATGGCTGTTTAAATACTTCTGTAAGAGAAACAGTACCTTTGGAACCATTTTTCATTCCACCCGGCAAATGGAAATATTTTTTGTTTGGGGTTTATATTTTGAATATTATAGTTCAAAAAGTTTTAAAGTTTTCCCCACTATTTTTGACAGAATTTTAAAAAAAGATCGAAATATTGAAATTATTCTCTGTAAGATATGGTATTCTTCGCTGTAGTCAAGGTTATAATGCAAGGAAAGTTATTTCAGGGGTGTACGCATCTTTTGTACTGGAGTGTACTGTCTCAGGGCGGTAATGTAAACACAAGACGGATGTCCAGCCTGGTACATAACTTTTATTTCCCTTTAGATTGTGGAAGATGAAGAACATGACAAGATCAATATTGCTGACTGTGGTCTAGAGGTAAACAAAGGGACTGTACACATAATCTCAAAGAGTTCACATAGCATCCAAATTTTGAAAGTTCACACAAACTATTTCTCTAAAGCAAGTGCTTTATGGGTAAAATCTAGAAAATTAGAATCAAAATAGCTAATAACTCTTTGAATTAACAAGCCATCGGGTATAAACTAGCATGTTGAAAAGCCTTTGAAAAGTAGATTTATAAACATGTGTAATGTAACTTATAGAAAGTGAGATTAAAGGAAGTGTAATTATAGGAAGTGTAAATATAGGAAGTGTAACGTTATAGGAAATGTAACCTTAAATGAAATGCAATATAGGAAGTGTAATTATAGGAAGTGTTGTTATAGGACGTGTAATTATAGGGAGTGTAACTTTATATGAAATGAAACTTAAATGAAATGTAATATAGGAAGTGTTATTATAGGAAGTGTAGCTATATGAAATGTAACTGAGCCCATAAAAGTACACTGTACAGGTCTAGAGCTTCCAAATAAGTACAATTTAGTTGGTGTGTGGTAAAATCAAATGTAAAGGCGTTGCCACACTTAATAGTTGAACTGGTAGCAGCTCAGTCTGTTATACTGGTATATTTATTCAAACAAATGAAAAAGACTTTATGCAGTGTATTGTGTACTGTGTACTGTGTACTGTGTACTGTGTACTGTGTACTGTGTACTGTGCACTGTGCACTGTGTACTGTGTACTGTGTACTGTGTAATGTGTACAGTGTAATGTGTACTGTGTACTGTGTACTGTGTACTGTGTACTGTGAACTGTGTACTGTGTACTGTGTACTGTGTACCGTGTACTGTGTACTGTGTACTATGTACTGTATATGCCTCCATTGTTCAGTATGATCCTGGAACCTGTACAAATTATCAACCAAAATATTTTTATGAACCCAGCTCCAGATCTTGCCAAACCTTTAGGTAAACAAATCAGAAATAAGCTCTTTTTTACCATTTTCTTCTAGGATAATACATTTAATTTTTAGAACTACATTGAGAAATCGGTTTTAATTAAAACATTTAAGCTTCCTTCTCTGTAAAATAACTTGTCCCCTAATAGTTAAATAATATAAAGAATAGGCCCATCGTTTTTAAACAATTCTTTAAACATTTTTAATAATTTCATTCACCGTTGATTTTCATAATCTTCCATTCGTTACGAACCTTTTCATAGACAGATACCTTCATGAAATGTCTTATCTATGAAATTCTATGAAATCTACTGTCTATGAAATGTCCTATCTATTAAATGTCCCATTTATGAAATGTCCTATCTATAAAATGTCTTTTTGTGAAATGTCTTTCTATGAAATGTTCCAACTAGCCTACTTTCGCGAAAAATGCGGAAATTTTCGTTCGAATTTCACAAACTTTTTCGCAAAAATGAATTTAGTGAAAAAATGCGAAAACTATGCGAAAGTGTTGTAGCTGTAACAATTAATTGTACAAAAAATGGAATTCTCTGCCCTGGGAGCTCAGCATTAGAATCTATATAATAAAACAAGACATTCGTATATATGCGTATAGCCGGCCAAACGGGCCGATCGGGCTTAAATTTGTCTTGGACACTCATGGTTGGCCGAGGGTTGTTTTATGCTAAAAAAAATCATTTTTTTCCAAATATTTTTTCAAATTTTTTTTCGATTTTTTTTTCTACGGGCAACNCCGAAAATTATGCAAATACGGTATAGGGAAATTTCGCGAAAAAACGTAAAGTTTCGCATTTTTCTCGAGCGAACGAAATGTGAAATTTGGTAAAAAGGCGAAATTTTGCGCTAAAAGATTTATCTTTTTCGCTAGAAAGCTGAGTTCTAACACCTACTAAAAGTTTTTTGTCATAAATCCCAATATCAAAGTTTGGTAAATAGAAAGAAGTAGTTGAACTGCGTAGACGATGTTGTACCACTGCGCGTTCAAGTTTAGAAAATAGTGGTTTTAAGCTTTTTTTGTAGTTTTTCTTTCTCAGTTATGGAGGATGTGGCGGCAATCCAAACAGATTTAACACAGAATCAGGTTGTTAAAGTAAAAAATTCAAAAGTTTTAAACTTCTCAAAATTTATAATTTCAACCTGGAAATATGAAGTAAGTAAATAAGTATAATAATTTATTAAGGAAATATAACAAAAGTGTTTCAGGAGAAAATATTTAAAAAAAACCTCGAAAAGTAGAGTTTGTGGTGTTTCCACCCAATTCTACAAGAAAGGGGAATGAAAGGAAAGGAAATGAAAGAAAGGGAAAAGGAAATGAAAGGAAAAGAAAAGGAAAGGAAAAGGAAAGAAAAGAAAAGGAAAGGGAAAGGAAAATGAAAGAAAAAAGGAAAGGTAAGGAAAGGAAACGGAAAGTTTCATATTCATTGTTTAGAGTGTCTGAGCGTTTGCCTTCAAGTCTCAACTACAGCGGACAGTCCAGCCTTTAGGAAAAATTTCAGTATTTTTTATCGAAATATAGAGAAAAACACTTTTAAAGATAAAACTTTTTTTAAAGATAAAACTTTGGCTTGTAAAAAATATTACTTTTTAATTGTATTCAAAATATTGACAAAAAAGTGATTTTTCTCAAAAGAATGAAAAATTGATTTTGTATAGTCCGGAAATAATCCCAGAAAGGAGACCAACAGAACCCCTAGGTATCAGAATATTATAGTCCGTTGGAATTTTGAGTAAACAGCTTAGTGGAAAATATAATGAAATTTACAATGGATTTAATTCAGAGGGGTGGGAACTAATTGGTTAAATACAAGGTTTAGATACTTGAACCACATTTCTATAATGAATACAAACTGTGGAAAATATTACAATAAATAGCACAATTTCCTTTAAATTTCTTTACAGCTTTTTTGATATATTTTTTAATTTTTTTGCATTTTTTGCATCAAAGATGAAATACTCGCAACTATGTTAGCAAATATTTTTCCATTAACGTTTAGTAACTAAATTATCCATTGGAGAGCACTGCGAAATGCAGCTCATAAGAGATATGCAAATTTTTTTTTCTAAATTACGCTTTGATTTATAAATAATTTTTGTTTTCTGTGGCTTACAGGAATTTAACATAATTCAAAAAAATATTCTTTTCAAGTTTACTTTTCAGAAATTGTGCAAAATCTGGACCAAAACAGTCTAAAACATAATTCTTAAATAAACAAAATTGTAAAAATAATTGAAAAATTGTCATAAAGCAAGAAAAGAAAAAAAATTGAAATATCCATGTTGTAAAGTTAACATTCTATTTTCATGTTTTTTGCCTCTTTTCCAAACAGAATGCTCATGTCTGCGAGAGAAATAATGTGATCGATTTATTTTTTATTTTTTTATTGTTTTAGATTTTTGAAATCTAAATACTTTAAAACAATATTCTGACGCCGAAATATCTTTCACTGATCCATAACAAAAAGAACTGTTTTTGCAATATATAAATATACTCATTTTACTAGCTATTATTAAGTAAAAATTTAGTTTGAAATTATACGAAATTAATCTTAAAGGAAAGCATTTCTTAAAATTCCGCCAATTTCATGTTTTTGTTTCCTTTCGTAACGGAATGTTTATGTCAGCGAGTGAAAAAAAATATGACATTTATAGATTTTTAACGATTTTTTTTATATTTTCAAAAATATCTGAATGCTTTATAATATAACACTATGTTGACACTGAAATATAGACTCATTGTATATTATTATTTAGTGATGTTCTACTACAGTGTACTGTATGAAAACTATTATTTAGTGAGGTTTTACTACAGTGTACTGTATGAAAACTATTATTTAGTGAGGTTCTACTACAGTGTACTGTATGAAAACTGTTTTGCCTTTAAGTGGACAGGATGTGGGGTAAGTTATTATACTGTCATTTACATCGTATGTACATTGTATGTACATCGTCTGTCATATCTATAAAAGATTTGTTTCTGATTTTTTTAGGAAAATAAATATACCACACATTAGTAATAGATAAATATATAAATGGATGTAAACACATGTAAGAATACCTTTCACAAAAACTGATTTTAGAATTAATATTTGTAAACATTATGCAATTATAATTTTTATTTATAAATTATATTATATAATTTATATTATTCATAATTTACAAGTTTTACTAGTGACCCAGCGTTTCTTGAAATCATTTTTCCATCAACATTATCTACAACTCTTAGCTACTATAATTCTATTAAAAAGATGAGCTGTCTCTTTAAAAAATATACATTTTTCCTTTAAAAAAATCCATCTTAATGCTTTCTAGACATATATATAAAATTTTAATTTCTTTAATACTTAATTTTTCGTCCTAATTACAATTATTATTAATATGTGAATTATTACAATTATACATTAGCAAATAAGAGAATAGGGATAAATTGAAATATTCCTATCGCCATTATAACTGGATTATTACTAAAGGGACTGTAAGTATAGTTTCAAGTGACCATCCATGCAAAGATGGCAATGTCAGATTTACAACAGTACCAAAGAAACCTTAATCTGATCAAAACTATTTTTCTGACTTGAAAAGTGTTAAATTCTGATAATTTCTACATTGCTTCTTATAAGCAAAAAAAATGCGCAAATATCTTTCGCAGTTCGCAGAGAAACCTCAAATTAATAAAAACAAAAAAAGTGATATCTTATTCATACTCGTTCAGACAAAGGATATTTTTAGGGTAAAAAGGGCATTTTTAAGGGTATTTTTTGGAAACCATTGCCATCTTTGACAGAAGAGTCACTTTAAATTACGATCCCTTTGATATTTTAATATTTTTCTCACTTAAACATAATAATATAATCAAAACAAACATTTTTCAACACTCCAGGGCAATGAGAATAATTTCCCAAGCTGGACTAATTGCTGGCTTAATTGCCAACCTGAGGTAAATGTGTGATTTGTTGAAAACTTCAAAGTAAATGTTAACCCCCTCCCCCCCCCCCCCCCCCCC